TTAACTTCGTTAAGTTCATGATTAAAGGGACAAATTCTGGAATATACGATTACAGCCATATCCAAATTTGTATTATTTGCCGTAGTTGAGAAAGTCTCCTTATGTGTCACCAGTTAAACACTTTACAACGAAGGAGCATGTTGTGTTTGCAGAAACGGTATCGGCAGTCAGTCATTGTGTTTTATTCATAACCGTGAGACAACAGCAGCATCATGAGGGCAAACAGGAAAGCACTGCATCCCCTGCTTCCTGTGAACACTTCTCGTGTGCTTCCACTGCCTCAGTTGTGTAAAAGGTGACCTTTGCCAAACACGAGTTCATGGTCTCAATCTCAAGTCTTCTTAAATAATAAAGACGTACACGCGGTCTGAACCTCACTGCTCTCAATTCCAAAACTTAAAAAAAACAACCCGGCGACAGCCGCAAACCAAGACTGCGGCCTCACTCGTGACGCGCGTTGCGTTCAGTGTGTGTGTTTAATGTGAGACGGCCTTCTCACATTAAACACAGAGCGGGAGGTTTATCTCCGGGGCAGAGCGCCTGCCAGACAGTTACATTGATCCGCCACTTCCTGCGCCACTTCCTGCGCCACTTCCTCCGCCACTTCCTGCGCCACATCCTGCACCTCATCAACCAGTCAACGTGCTAAGCGGATAAAAAAAATGGTCCTTTACTGAACAATAATTCCATGCTCTTTTTGTGTGTTCTGACACGCACATTGGCGAAAGTGTGCTGGCGCGACAATCGAACGGAAGAGCGACTAATGTACCAGCGCTCGAGAACAGCGTCCCGTCCCCGTGCACAGACACCTCGGAAGTCGGGTCCAAGGACGGAGGCGAGGGCGAGCGACGTAGCGTCTCTGTAATTTAGTTGCCCAAGAGCAAATATTTGAGGGCTTAAAAGCCCTCCAGGAGACGGAGAACAAACAGCCTGTGAAGTCAGCAGAGGTCTGTTGGTTGGAGCGGCTCTGGTCTCTCAACCAAAGCGTGAGCGTTTCTAGAAGATCCAGCGGGGGTTCAACCGCGCGTGGTTTTGGCTCGACTGCAGCGGAGCACGACGTGGTCAGAGGGGCGGGCGGTGGGTTTCCGTCGGTGGGTTTTCGGAGCGCGGCTGCCGTCTATTCATCCGACACACATCGACTAACCACATCACCAAGGAGGGGACGGAGAAAAATTAGAGCACTAATTCTGAATACTGTGTGTGTTCCAATAAGCGCTGTGAGCGGATGGAGTCATTCTCAGCTTTCCCCCGGGCATCGTCCCCCCCACATCAGCATCACGTGCTCAGGGAATTATTGAGAGGCAAACGCCGACGACCTCCTTGTGCGCGATGGCTCAGCAAAGGCCGCGGTGACGTTTTCGCAACCTCGACCTCGGACTGCAGCTCCCCCTCGTCATCCAGCAGCCGTTACTCAACAAAGACGCAACGGGCAGGTGTGAGGCGTCTACCGGGAAGGCTTCAAGAGGAGATGCAGCTTCAGTACCTTCTTCTTCTTCTTCTGTCAAAAGTGACAGTCGCTCACTGTGCGATGTGACAGACATATTGTTCATTTTAGAGATGAGAAAGTGCATTTCCAACCTGCAGACACGAGACAAAGCTGCTGTTTTCCACTGAGCTCCGTTGTGTTACTTCTTGTATCTGGCTCACACGCACAACCCCATCTCACTCTCCTAACTCAAAGCAAATGAGATGTTGCTAAATCTTTTTTCCTGGATCTGGTTCCTGAGCGACTGGAACCATTAAAGTCATCTTCACTTTGGCAAAGAGCTTCAAGGGCATTTAACTGAACACTGTGGAAGTCCAGCTGTTTACGTCATACCTGTTCTAAGGGTGTTATTGAGAGTGGTGGTAACAGAGTTCTTGAGGGATTAATGAGGAAATGGCATTTAAATGCTGGACAACGACATATGGTTTTGTGCATAAGGGATAACGTGTCAAGCTGTCATCTGCTCACTGGTACAATATGCGCTGCGGTCAGTAAGCTGCAGTATTCAATGGAAAAGCTGAATCCCTCTAAATGCATCAGTAGATTTGGCGTGTTTCACCCTTAGGTGGGAAAAAAGGCGGCTTTATCTCCACTTCGTTGCTCTGTAAATTGTGCAAAGTCTTCCTTCACCCAGTGGTGTCTGCAGCAGCCGCTGCTTGGACGGGGTCAAGAGCTTCCACGGCTTTGGACCCAAAGCTGATAATCCACTTGCATCTTTCACTCTCCATTTTTGTGTCCGTGAGGCCTCTTCGACTTGACCCGCCGGTGTCCTCTCCTGTGCACATCCCCGTGTGTGGATCACGTTAGAAAAATGAGCTCCTGAACACGGGAGACGTTAGCGGTGTGATTTGATTCGGGCAGATATCCGATGGCTTCGCCTCGTCTTTCAGAGATGAACAGATAAGTGTTGGCTGCAGGGGGGGGGGGGCGACCCATCTTCTTCAGCACCTGAGATAAACTGAGCGTGGACTGGAGCTGTGCCCTGTTTTTGTCATGCTGACCATTACTTACGATTGTGACATATGGAAAATTTTTGTTTTTTCTGTAAGAAGAACACTGAGATTTACCAATTGGGCCTCTAATTACAAAAAGAGATTAAAGGTGTAAAGTCTTCTGGGTCAAATGCAATCTAAATTGATCAGTAATGATCCAAAACCAACCGTCCTTATTACACTGAAATGAATCTAGCAGGAAGAAAACTCCTCGGCTGACAATGTTAGATTGAAATTACTAATCAATTCAAATGGTTTTATTTGTACTCCTATGTGACAAAAGAAATTAGCGTATGTCGAACTGTAACTTCTGCACCTGCAATGCTCCTCCTGCCAAACCCGAACGGGCTGCAGGTTTAAACAGGGAAGAACATTTTGTTTTTCTATCAGGACCAAAAGATCAAATATTAAACTGGACTGATTTTACGCCTTTTTATGTTTTTTCGAATATTCATTAATGATTAAATAACAACAATAACAAATAAATTATAATATATGTAGGATTATTAGAAACTGGAAAGTCATATTTTGGTGACTGAAAATAGATTTCGCCTCATTTGTGAACACAAATATTTACACAAATCTCCAAGGGAGCTGATTTCTGAGAACAGGGGGACATTTAATGAGGCAAGAAGGGTACCCGGCATCTAACATCCCTTTGGCTATATTCTAAAGAATAAACAAACCAAAACACCCCGCTGGTGTGTGTGCTGCATATGGGGGATATCTGAGGCCCAGACGTGGCTCTAATGAGACCCGGGGAGCCAGCGAGCGCCGACGTGGTCACATCTCCCGCGCCCCGGGGCGAGGCCGCGGGCGCCAGCTGTGGAGAGCACATCACTGTCGCTGGCTTACGCCGTGTGGCTGAAAACCAGAGGGCAGAGGTCCTCGCTGTCCCTCGTGGCGTCGCGCTGGCAGCAACTCAGTCGGCTCTGGTTAGCGGGGCGTCGCAGCAACAATCAAAGCCGGCCCCACCCAAAGCCCCCCCTCCCCACCCGCTAGGGAACTCTGAGATGCTAACAGGCCGCTAGTGAACTCTGAGATGCTAACAGGCCGCTAGTGACTCTGAGATGCTAACAGGCCGCTAGTGACTCTGAGATGCTAACAGGCCGCTAGTGAACTCTGAGATGCTAACAGGCCGCTAGTGAACTCTGAGATGCTAACAGGCCGCTAGTGAACTCTGAGATGCTAACAGGCCGCTAGTGACTCTGAGATGCTAACAGGCCGCTAGTGACTCTGAGATGCTAACAGGCCGCTAGTGAACTCTGAGATGCTAACAGGCCGCTAGTGAACTCTGAGATGCTAACAGGCCGCTAGTGAACTCTGAGATGCAAACAGGCCACTAGTGACTTTGACATGCTAACAGCCTGCTAGTGACTCTTTATTCCTCCCGCTCACCGTGACTCCGCCTACACACGATATTAGCACTCACATTATCATGAGTTCTTTACTCTATTGCTCAAAGTACGAGCGTAGAGATGCCTCATCGAGATACATGAAACATTCACTCATTAACTTGTGGAGCCCAACCTACTGGCGAGGTGGCAAAGTTTAAAGGGGGTTTATTTTTAGAAGATATGCATGTAATCAGCTTTCAGGTTGACTGAACGTTGCCCAAATATGTGTTATTATTCATCTCCTGCTTCCTTTTAATGTCAGCGTACTGCTCGATCTTTGCCAGTGAAAATATTGACGCTCATTCAGTTTCCTCCTGACATGCATCAAGAAATAATCGTCCTAGTCTGGTTTGCTTACATACTTCTTCAGAGGCATCGCTATCAAATTGACACTGTGGGATCTCTACTATTGGTGCATGATGCAGCAAGAAGAACCACCTTTCCTTTGCTCTTGAAGATAAAACTGGGCATCAGAAAGAGGGTGGCGGGGTGGGGGGGGGTAGTAACTGCCCCCCCTGGGGAGACTGCAGTCCCACATGGCCGGTCCCGTGCTGGCCCAACTGTTGACGGATAAATCTGTCCAAATGTTAGTAATAGTTTTACATTAACACATCACATAATAACTGCGGTGGGGGGGGTTGGGGGCTCTTGGAGTACGAGGGCAGGGGAGAGCAGCTTGTGCGTGGTCGAGCTGAGCAGACGGAGAGGAGTGAGAAGCTGGCAGATGAGAGGAGGATGACGGAGTAACAGCTCTGAGATGAAGAGCTACATTGTGTTCCGTGAACTTTACAACCACACAAGGAACACAATAACAACAACAACATTTTAGGGTTTGTTTAATCTGCAAACGGACCGAATAAAAGGTACACGCTGTAACTATTGTCAGTGACTTCCTGCAGCCGGTTGTCACGATGATCTTGCGGTTTTAACAGACTTCCTCTGTCAAATGACATTGACGGATTAAGTGTATGCAACGGTTTGCCACGTCATTGCACCTTGTTCTGATGTACCTTCATAATGGATAACAAAATGAGGCCCTTACAGAGATGCACAGGGGCTTGTGTGAAGAATGTGTTCAGTCTGACTTCGTCAGGGGTTCGTCGTGGAATGAATCAAAATAGATGGTTCAATAAAAATCAACTTTTTATTTCATTAAAAAATACAAAATCAAACGCAGTACAGGCAGTGTGAATAACAAATATAATATTCAATCACCCAATGAAACGGTTTGCTTGTTGAATTTCCAGACGGCTGACCATGCCAAGAAGCTCTATTTCATGCCCAGGCTTTTTGCTGTTCCCATTCAGTACTCTAGAGTGAGTACTCTGATAGAACAATACGGGTTGAAGGAGGTCGCGCTCATCCTCACCGGGCCCCCCTATTCTATACAAAAATATAGAATGATACCGTAAAAAAATACAAAAAATGTAAAAAAAGATACGACAAAGACAAAAAGTCTTCCATGCCTCCCAGGACTATTTCAGATTTGAACATTACTCCTGTCCATGCACTTGTGTGCATCTTTGTTTAGTATTTTTTGTTGTTTGCACAGTCACAACAAAACAAATTTCTTCTATGTGCAACATATTTGGCATTAAATGGTTCTGAGAGAAACAAAATTACCCTAAAAAGGAAAACGAAAATACAAAAAAGCAGAACAATTTGGGCCTCCTCAGTACCGATCTTGTTGGTCAGGACGGATTCCTCATCCTCATCTTCTGGGGAAGGTTCTGGACCAGTGTCCTTTCTGGCCGCATGTGTAGCAGCCGTCTCTGCTTCCTGGGTCGTGCGGTGGCCCGTACCACCCTTCCTGGAATGCTCCTCCATCGTAGCCTCGTCCTCCGTCTGCATACGGTTGAGCAGGTTGGTAGCGAAACGCTGGCTGGGCGGGGGCCACTGGGTAAGGCTGAGACGGCTCTGCAGGTGCTCCTGGCTGGGTGTTCTGGGCATGTTGGGTTGCTTGGGCCTCTGTTGCTTTCTTCTGCATCTTGGCCTGGTGTTTCTTTTTATTGGCTTCGGCTACCTGCATTCTTAGCAGTTGTATTGTCAGCTTCCTTAGTTCTTCTTGGCTGCTCTCTTCCTTCGCCTGGTGTCTTTGGACGTGTCGAGCGAGGTGCCCTCTCCACGAGGCATCCTCCATGTCTCCTATAAGTTCCTCCACTTCTTCTGCTGCACCGGCTGTGGCAAACCTTTTTGCACCTGGGTACGCCAAAACCAGGTGGTGAAATAATCGCGGTCGTGTCTCACTCCTGTGACTCTAAGCCATTCTTCCTCTGCTCTTTGCAGGTACCGATACATTTCTTCCCCCGCTTTCTTCTCCATCCCGATGAGGGCGGACTTGTCCAGTTGAGTAGGCCAGATGCTTCGCAGGGCCTGCCAGTACCTTCCTCGGTGGGAATTAAAAGAATCTGTGTCAGCTCTGTGGGCGGTGTCGGTTATAGCTTCTATTTCGTTTAGCTTAGCTTTGGCGCGGAGCAGCAAGGCGCGCACCTCTCCGAGCGACAGCTGGTCTTTCGCCGTGAGCTCTTCCATCCGTCGAACCTAGGGGTCCGCACCCCTCTTCAGTGGAGGTAAAGAAGCTACCAGGGTCTCAAAGTCCCGGTGTCCCCATGGCACATATTCTGTTTGGCCTGTGTTTCTCACCAGAGCCCCCGGACGTTGGGCTCGAGGGGTTCGGCTTTCATATCGGTCTGCAGCACGTCTCTGTTGGTCAGACCGCCTTAGAGAAACGGGGTCTAACGGGAGGCGCTGTCTTCCCCGTATGACTCAGGGAGGAGGAACTGTTCCGCGTGGCCATCGTTGGTTGTCCATGCCGGATCAACGTGAGGGCTTTGAGACGGGGTGTTCAGAAGGGCCGTGTGTCGTACCATCGCTGAGGAGGTGACGTTTTGGGGGGGGGGGTCCTTCGCTTTCCAAAAAGTGAGCATCCTCAGTGGACGCACACGTTTTTTGTCCGCTCCTTCTTCTTCGAAGGCTTTAGTTTTGCTTTGTGTAGACATCTCGCTGCTGGAACCCGCTGCTCTCCGCACAGTCTGTCCCCTGCTGTGAGGGTGGCTCCTGAGGGGGAAACAAACTTATCCTACTTACTTTCTCATCCTTTTTCCGTCTTTTTCTGGCCTTGTTAGGGTAGCCATCACAAATGAATTAAATCAATTAACTTAAAAAACACATCGTTCCCACTTCTCTTGACTAGTGCTCGACTGTTGACTTTATTAAATATATCTATAATAAGCATAATTGCTAATCAGATGTTCGGTCTTTTTGGTTTATTGTGTTGTTTCTAACTGGTTCAATGTAAGAATCCAACCAGTCAGACAAACTTCTCCTGAGCGGCTTCTCCCTTCATTACGTCACGTTCAATCTGCAATACCTTCTTTGAGCCCACGTCCGCTCTCTTATTAGTCTAACTTCCGGTGGCCTAAACTGAACGCCCCGCCCCCGGCCCCTCCCCCCGGCCCTCCCCCAACATCTGGGCCCGCTGGCCGTTGTTTTAAGGTTTTAGGGGCAAAAACGCTGACAAGAACCCACTTTTTATTTAGGTTATTCCCGGTATTCATTCTACCCGCATCTATAACTTGTATTCAGCTGCGTCACACCGGTTGACTCACTCGCTTAACTAAACACAGACACGCACTTTGAACTTTCCGAGCAGCGGTTTTCTTTCCCGCCCGTTAACGGTTCCGCGTCCTACTCACCGAACCAAAGCCCGCAGCGGCGCCGCCTCTAGAGGTTGAGAAGCGCCGGAGTCTCTCGCCTTGGTTCCCCGGTTCGACCCGACCGTAATGACAGTTGAGAGGAGGAGGGAGGAAGGAACCCGAGGGGCTCCGGGGAGCGGAGGCGCAGCCTGCAGCGCCCCCCGCTGGCGACCGTCGGGACGGGTTTATGAGACCGGAAGTGACGTTAGACTCTTTGACGCGCTCTGCAACATATTGCTTATAACATATAAAGTAATACACTTTTTCAGTATTACCATTACCTACCGTATTGTGACCTTTTTCAGATTTCTTTAAGACTACTAGAACGTTTGTATGCATTTCTTTTAGATACTATATGATAACTTATTTAATTACTCGTCATCACGTCTTTTGACAGTATAGTACGACTTAACATACTGTACTGCGACTTTATGGCCAATTGTAATAAAGTATCCTGTACTAATGACATTTATTTTTGACTTTCATGATTCTTTAACTCTTTTGACCTTTTTTTAGAAATATATCAACTATACATTTTATACAAGTATGCATTGTTTTGTATAGTATACAAGTATACTAAGAATGTTTTTTTTTTTACAACCTATACTTTTTATAACTTATTTCGAGTTGTATGATATGCTAAACTATGACGTCAAAAAAGTCTCCTTTAAACATTACCACTATTCTGTTGCTTTTTCAACATGAACATGACATTGACATTACTTTATTTGAAATGGTCCGCTGTGAATGAGTTCTTTTAGAAGTCAGGGTTAGAATTACTGTGTCTGGGTCTTTTTGGACGGATGAAATAAAAGCTGCTGTACCAACATGAGGAATTCAAACGACAATCAATACAGACAAGTGGTTATGGAAACACAACGGTTTATTTACTTAAAATATCGGTATGAACTAACAGGACAGCAGAACTCCCCTACACATACATTCTAGCTTTATGCTTCTGTTTTGCAATAATTCCTTTATATATAAAAAGTATCCAAACTAACAAAGACGTCCTCTTCGCCCCCCCGTCCTCAAAACGCCCCAAAAAGCTTCCTGACGGCCCACTCACACACTCTCACACACACACACAGTGACCTTTAACCTGAGTCAGAGGTCACAAACGGCGCCACTCACACTTACGTACGGACCCAAGCTAAATGTGTGTGTACGTGAAGCGGCTCAAGTAAGAGGGCAGATCTGAACTTCAATAAAGCTGCACCCCAGTCATGACCCCGTGACCCATAGCGACACACCAGTTCACGCTGATAAACATTTAAGGCCCCTTTTGAAGTGACGAGAGGTTGCTCTGAATAAGAAAGAGATATAAACGGCCGCCATGTTTATTAGTAATTCAAAATTTGAACATCCAAACCAAGTTTTTTGGAACTTTACTCCTTTTCTTGAGTTTGCTCATGTAAATGTCGGGTTTGAGAAGGCCGAGTGTAAAATGTGATCTGTGCAGATGGAATTATCATTATTTATCAGGCAAAAAAAAAAAAAAAACGCTATGTGCCAACAAAGAGTTTCTTAGCCCATAAAATACATACGTTTCATTATCTTTCATCTTTAACCCAAAGCCCAACCACAGCGTTTGTTCTCATTCGTGGGGGAGGACGGTGTCAGTGTTTTATGTTAATCTGGAATAAAACTCTCCATATACACAATATAAACAGATCAAAGCAAAAGGCCGGCTTTCGTCGGCCGGGTTGAGTGGAAAAAGAAAGAATTAATCGTCTCCTCGATAAGTGTGACGCGGTATAAAACGACGTGGTCGCCGACAGCCCGTCCTGTTCGTCACACACACACACACACACACACGCACAAACATTCAAAAGCCATGTTGTACAACTTCAGTGCCCAGAGACAGAATTTGGTATTGACAAAAGGAAACGCAACAATAAACAGATGATATATTTATATGTTCAATAATATGTGATAAGAAGGACTAACTGGGCGTAAAACATCTCCCATCAATCCCACAACACCAGCAGGGGAACAGATACACGTGTAAAAAGGTATAATATGTCACATTTATTGGTCGGGGGTCATGAGTGATGCTTTCTGATGGAGTCTATTCTTCATATTTGAGGAAAATGTTGCATGTTATACCTTTAAACTGCAGCCGTCCTCTTCATAAACTATTACAGGGAGTCGGATTGTAAAAAGGCCTAAAAGTCCAGTTCTCTGAAGCCAGAGACCAGCACAAAGCAGCTGGTCCAAAAAGAAGATTAAAAAAGGCCCCAAAAGTAGAAACCAAGGACTAAATATGCCAGAGAAGCCAAGGCACACAATGAGGATGATGAATCGGAGATCGCTCTCTTCCATCCCGCCCAGATCCATCTGGCCCCGCCCCCTTTTCTCCAGGCTCCAGAAAGTGCTTGAACATGCGAGACAGAAACGCGTGTCTGGATGCGTGCGCTTATTTGCGTGTGCGTGTGTGTGTGTGTGTGTGTGTGTGGCCACTATAGAAACACATCAACATTTTAAAAGTCCATTTTCATAGTTAACAAATTTAAAGTACACAGGTGTGCTCCCTCGGTCTGCGGTGAGTGCATCTCAAAGACGACAGGTTGGTTATAGGATAATATATCGACATGAACGATGGTTTTACAACAACAGTAAACACTTTTTTTCTTTTTTAAACGCTATAAATACACTTCTTTGAGAGGCTTCACAACAATCAAACTGTATGCCACTGTTTGCACGCTGAAAGTGAGTGACACACTCACACAGACACACACTCTCACACACGCAGACACACACTCACACATACCACAGACATAAAAGGCACAAGGTATTGCTAATGTTGAGGACGCATTGAATCCACGATCGATCGAGACGTAAACGACCCCCCGCAGAGCCGTTCTCTCCTCACAGTAAAAACAAGCTTTGAAAACAAAAACAAAGAGATGCTTTTTCCTTCTAATAAACATGCAAAAAGAGCGTTTGCACGCACGCACGCACGCCCCCGCACAGTAAACAAAACCTACAGATCTACCGTACCGACAGAGGTACACCATTTGGTATTTTAGCGGACGCACTCAGGTCAGCCGATGTAAGACTTCCAGAAACAGAGAGCCGATCCTCACATACAAATCTTAGAAAAATCAGAGAGGCGGGTGGAGGTGGGTTGTATAAAAAAAGACCGGGATCATGAAGAGGTGTGAGGGGGCGGGATGGGTGGTTGTTGGGGCGGCGGTCTGTAATGCGCCACAGAGCGACCCGGCTGAGGGAGATAAGACACATCCAGCTCTGCTCGCCAAGTTAACCGTACGCGCTGACTGCTTTCTGCTCTTCTGGGGGGGGTGGTTTCACTGGGCCATGAACCGAGGGGGGGGCGGCTGGATGGGGCGGGGGGTCCAACATGGACCAATAGGGCCGGAGGAGATGGGACGGATGAGCATGCGTTGTCGCCGTAGCAACGGGCCTGCCGACCGAGAGGGAGGAGTGGCCGTCGAGCATCTCTCCGTCGCCAGCGGCTCTGAACAGCCTTCCAACGCGTGAGGGAGGAGAGAACTCTCATGCGTACTGCTTCTCTGTCGGCCTCCTCCTCCTCACGTCCTGTGCGTCTCTCCCGTTGCCTCGGTTACCAGCCTATCAGGTTGGCTTTGGCCTTTTCCGTCAGCTTACGGACGCGTCCCTTGGACGAGGTGCCGAACGTGATCGACGAGTCCTCGAACAGCAGCTGCCTCTGCTCCTCCTCGGAGTCCTCCTCCACGTACCAGGCGGACCGTCGCCCCTGGTTACGCGTGCGCATCGACCCCCCCGCCTCATCCCCCGCCTCCCCTTCCTCCTCCTCATCCTCCTCTTCCTCCTCTGCAGACTCCCTCCGAGTGGATCGCCCGGCAGCGGTCGGCGGAGGAGGCGTGACCTCCTCGGCAGCTCTCCTGCTGCTCCTCCTCCTCAGCGGCGGCGGCGAGGGCTCGGGCGACTCGGCGGGAGGCGGGGCTTCGTCGGCCCTAACCGCTCGGGGCCGCCCGCGCCGCCGAGGCGTCAGCGCGGCGCCAGAGTCCGACAGCACGGAAGTTTCCTGCGCAGACGAAGTCCCGCCCTCGTCGCCCGTGGATTGGTCGAGCTCGTCGTCGGGGGTGGAGCTCCTGCGGTGGCCGCTCCCTCTCCTGGTCTCCTCGCGCTCCTGCTTGCTCTTCCTGCCTCTCTTCTTGCCGGCCGGGCGGCCTCGCGGTCTGGACGGGCTCTCCGGGGGCGGGGCTTCTGGAGGACTCACTGGCAGCTCCGCCCTGGATCTACGGCCCCTCCTCCCCGCTCCCAGGGTCACGTGACTACCGTGGCCATTCAGGTGCACTGTGCTCTGGGAGGGAGGGCTGGCAGGCGAGCCTGAGGGGGGGGAGGCATCGATTCACAGAGGAAAAGTGAGAATATATAAACAAAGAGCCGTCGGGTGACATTAAACACCTCACAGCATCACGACGTACCTGGTGTGAGTCGTACAGGGGGGCGGAGCTTCCTCCGGGTGCTTCCTCCACCACTGCTCTCTGCGGCGGGAGAGGGCGTCGCCTTCTCGGGAGCTGGTGCCGACGAGGCCGACGCGGAGTTATGAGCCCTCAGCGAGCGAGTGGACTCTGAAGATGACGTACGCAGACGTTTAACACTCCACAGCCCCCTTAATCCCCCCAAAACTACAGCAAACCCAAGTCTCACCTGCCGGGGCCTGATGCGAGGAGGAGGACGAGGAGGGCGGCGAGTGCGTGGAATGGCGGGCGGCGCTGCGCGTGCGCCCAGCGGTCGGCGCGTCGGCCTTCCCGTTGACAAGCTGAGCGGGCGTTTTGGCCGGGACGCTCTGCCTCAGAGAGGAGGCCCGGGAGGGCGGCAGCGGCGGCGGCGGCGGCGATGCCTCCCTTTTTCCGCTCACCCGGGAGGAGACCCGCCTCTTTCTCTCTGGACTACAAAAAAAAAAAAAAAATGGGGTTACACACCGAACAGACGGTGTGAGACCCCCCCGCATGAAACCGTCTCTTACCTGGACGCGGTGCTGCTCGCGGGGGACTCGCTGCTCCTCCTCCTCCTTCTCTTCATGGCGTGCCGCGTCTGCCTGTCGGCGGCGGCGTGCGGCGTCTGCCTGTCCGTGCCCTGCCGGGTCAGTTTTTCCGTCAGGCCGTGGAGGCCCTTGTAGTCGGACAGGAGGGAGCCCACGTGCTCCTCGAACAGGGCGGAGAGCCGCAGACTCATGCTGTAGATTTAAGAGGGGGGGGGGGGGGGCGGATTAGGGGCGCTGCGTGAACCCAGTGCGCCGTGGTTTTGCAGACCGTGTGCGTCTCTCTCTCACCCGGGACTTCTTGCTGGGCGTGTACGCTTTGGAGTTGCTGAAGATGAGTCGGACGTCCCGGCACAGATGAATGGGAGATTGGTACTTCCCGTCCTTGAGCGTGTTGAGGACGGTGCTGAAGTCCATCGGCGAGTCGACTATCTGCAGGTAGTCCTGGGGGTGGGTGTGGGGGTGGGGGGGGGGGGTGGGGGGGCAGAGGGAGGTTCGGGCTACTTCAGGCACAGCTTTCAAAAGACGGGGAGCGACTTGCGTCCACCCTCCCTCAGCGAGCCGCTACTTGAAGGACGTGACATGTGGCGGAGGTCAGCTCACCGGGTATTCCTGCAGGTCCACGGGCTCCCTGAAGGGCTCCGAGTCTTCGCACTGGAAGATGAGATCCAGCAGGTCCTTGCAGCGCCCCCGCCAGGCGTGAGGGTCGTACGAGGGGGGGCGGGTCCGCAGCTGCCGCCGCGCGGGTCGCCGGCTCTGCGCGGAAAAAGCAAACGTCGCATCACAGCCTCGACGTGTTTGGCGTTCGTCTCCTGTGGACAGCACCCGGGGGGGATGGGGGGGTTGTTACCTTGTGGTTTCGCGTGGACGTTCCAGGAGTGTTAGTGTCTTCATCGTCCTCCTCGTCGTCCTACACAGAGAGAATATATTATGATATGTTATGGTATATGAATACTCTGCTGCACATATTACATTTTAAAATCATGCAAAGAGCATCAGGCAATAACTCGTGGAGAGAAATAAGCAAACGCACCTCGTCTTCAGAGTCAGAGAAGGTGGCCTTCTTCATGGTTTTATAGAGCGGCATGAGGTCCGTCATGTTTTGGTCCCTAGGAAAGAAAAAAGGAAGAAGAAAGCGGAAATGGTCAATGTCCAAGTGTGGGAACTTTAAAATAGAGACTTTTTCATGGTGTCCTCAAAAGACAAAACTGGCGAACGGACATTTTGTTGCGCGTACTCCGCCGTTGGTCCCGTGCACCGACATACCGGCGTTAGAACTTACTTAATGAACTGCAGCATGAGGTCCGACACAAACTTGGCGGTGGTGACGATGAAGGCTCCCGGCTCGTTGAAGGCTTGGGCGTTGTGCTCCAGGTAGCGAACCTCCCACATCAGAGAGGACAGGCGCCTGCGAACAAAGGCCAACGGGTCCAGAGTGAACTGAAGCCCGGTCGCGACGCGCACACACACACACACACACACATAGACTGAGGGTACCTGTAGAAGCGGTTGACCAGCCTCTCGCGGATGGTGCTGAGGTCAGTGACGTAGGCCACCACCGTGCAGTAGGTGGGGTAAGCCTGCAGGTCCACTGGAAAGGCGAACGGCGCCGCCACATCTGACCGGCGGATAAGAAGAGGAGAGGGTTATTTACTGGAGAGCATCTAATCAATGTAACTCACACACTCAACGCGGACGCCTCGTCCCGAATAAAACAACCCGCTTGTTCTCTGAGTAGGAACGGCGCTTACATCATCCCACGCCCGCGTTTCTCAAGCAGTTCCAAATGTTCTTCAATGCGTTCAAGTGGTCATGTGGCGTTGTTCCCAACACCGCCACTAGAGGGAGCCGCCGGGCCGGCTTCAACCCAACAGTGTCCACCAACAAACATTACATCACTTAACGGGAATTCAAGCGTGAGCGGCTCATTCCTTCCGACGCCACAGCTTAGCGCTGACTCGGGCATCGAGGAGAGACGCGTCCTCGCTTCTCCCGCCCCCCCCCCCCTTTTTTTTTGTTTTTCCTTCGACGGGTGACGTCGTACCGAGCGTGCACAGCTGGTCGATGGCTTTGATGATGCGCTCGCACTCGTCGGAGCGCGTGCGGCAGCCCCACTCCCCGTCCAGCGGGACGTACAGCAGCTCCTTCTGCTCCTCCTCCACCAGCGGGACGCTCGTGCCCAACTCGTCGGGGAACGTGGCTGCGAGGAAGAAGCAACGCGGGGAGAAAAAGACGTCGGGAATGTTGCAAGTGTGGGACGACAACGTTTAAATTGGTGGGGATGCGCGTGAGCGGCGTGCAGCGCGTCCGGAGAGGCCTACCGTCGTCAGGGATGGGCTCCATGTCCCACGGGCTCATCTTCTCCGTGTCTCCGTTATCCCAGCTGGAAACGGGAAACAAAGTTTAGACGACGCCTCCCCACCGTCACATCGCAGGCAGTGTGATCTATGCGCCGCTCTAACGGGGTCTTTCAAAACAACAGCGAGGAGGAAATTAAATAATTCCAACGGACAACATGCTTATTAACGTCGGCGCCGTCGATCAGAGCCGAGCGACACCAAACAAAGGGCAGCGCCGGCTGGCTTTTTAAATGTCAGATTTAAACCGCCGCCTGCGATGGTTTCGTCGAGGCGGCGAGGCGTCTGTGCAGCTAATGAGCGCTGTGAGAGGAGGTGTTAGCGCAGGCGGCTGTTTGGAGACAAACTCCTGCAACACGCAAAATGATTTTAACAAACATTCAGATTCGGGATTCACAATGCGAGACGAGCTGGGTACAGAGTGAGAAACCGTCATTACAGTGATCCAATTCTCTCAAAAAGACAAGATTCACGATGTAAGGAGCTAAAATCTGCATTGAGATCCTCGATTCAGAATCATTTTGGTGTCGTTTGTGTTCTGTTTCACACGTTTATACCCGTTTCCTGCACAGTCTGTTACACGAGGTCACAAAGACTTTGCTGAACTCTCGGACCACATTATTACTAACGCAAATACATCGGCTCCATGCGTGGAAGTGAGATTGCCTACCAGACGTTGTAGCACTGGAACAGGCTGTCGGGATACTGCGGCTGGAAGGGCTCCTGGCTCTCAATGGTGCCAAACCACCAGGCGTCATCGATGACCGACCGGAACCGGTCACCTACACACACACACACATCATGGTCACACATCGGGGTCTCAGATCGGTACACTTCAGAGGGCCCTGCGGCAGCGGCAGCTCTCTGACCTATGCTCCACTGCCTCTTTCTGGCGTTGTCGAACTGCTGGCGCAGAACCAGGAAGTCGATGACGTCGGGCATGTCGTGGTATCTGCAGAGGAGACGGAAATGTGCACAAGTTAGCGACGTATAAGCGGACTGAAGGGGCAGTTTCCCATCCCCCAAACATTCCTTACTTGATAATTCCCGTCAAGATGACTACATTAAATGTTTGAATACCTCTAGTCGGGTCTTTTGTTAGAACGAGATTTAATTAAGAACAGAAATGTTACCTTCCGAAGAACCAAAAAGCACCGTTGGGCCGTTTTTACCGCTTCGCGGCATTTACTGATACATGTTATTAAAATAATTAAGGGGAGGAAAATGAAACCCAGAGCCTCTGTTTCTCATCTGTGGAGTGTTTGTGTTATTTTGTTGCGGCTGTGGGAGTGAAGCGCTTACTTCATAGAGAAGGATCCTCCGGTCAGCTTGCCGGTGTCGGGGTCCAGGAAGAAAGCTTCAGGCAGCACAGCGGGCAAGCCACCTCGACTGATGCACGATCTCATCAGCTCCTGCTCCTGAACACCACAAACACGAGCACGCATGAGCAAAAGCGCCGCGGCGCCCTCTTCCCTCTCGCCGAGCGCCACCTCGGCGCCCCGGCCGCTGGAGGCAGAGCTCGGTGGACTCTATTAATAGATTCTCTCTCTCCCCAGCGCGAAGGCCGGGAGAGCTGCAGTAGGTTCCTCGCGGTAGCCGGGGGGGTAACCCTGGGGGGGGGGGGGGGTCGCTCAGGTGTTGATACCACCGTTTGTTCAGATCACAATGAAAGTATGAAGACGTGCGCCCGAAGCTGTACATGAACACACCGTGACAGGTGCATTCAAGGCAAAGACGCTTCCCACAAGCCGTCACTTTGGAGTGTGGAAGAGTGTCGTGTTTGTTGTTGGTTTTGTCATTGTGTTGAAATATACTGAGAATGAACTCTGCAGACATTCTTCATAGAGATGACATCATCGTAACCCTTTGACCTGCGCGTCACTTTGTGACCCCGACTACTCCGACGGTGGTCCGAAGAGCGCCCCGAAGGCGTCTTTGTCTCACCCGCAGCTCCATCTTGTGCCAGGGCTGCTTCTTGGGATTGATGCTGTAAATCTTCTTCTGTCTGGCCATCTCCACGTAGGCTTCATGGCCCTGTCTGAAGTAGTAGAGCTGCACACACACACAAACACATTTAATATCTTCATGATTCAAGTGTATTTCTGTTGCTAATACTTGTGGCATTGTACGTGTCCCCCTTGTCGCGGCGCGAGAGAGGGGTTTCAGTTGGGCGTGTACCTCGTCTCCCATCTGGGGTATGTAAGGACACCGGCGGGGGACGGTGTCGGTGATCCAGGCGGCAGGAAGCCACTCCTCCAGAGTCATCCCTTGCTCCTGGAACTCTGTCTGTGAAGGATGAAGCGCGAGAGAAATATTCACCGACACACCTTTCATGTGGTGGAGGTTTTGTATTCATTATCTTCTTTAAAATGCATATAAAAACAATGCATGTGTGTACATTGTAAGCCCTGTGGACAACGTTTAGCCTGAACATTCTACTAAAAATGAACTGAAACTGAAACTGATTGCTTTGCAGTTGTCGTTGCAGCTCCAGTTTAATCTGGACATTAATTTGAACAAATGGCTGATGGGTAATAACTTTGAACCACAACATCCCGCCTGAGGCCACGATAACTAAATATATATATTTATATTTATATAACTAAAGACAAACCTTCCTCTTCTCCTTTGGCTGCTTCTTCTTTGGTAACGTCTCGTCTTTGTCCGCCTTGTCCTTCTTTCTCTCCTTCTTCCCGTCCCTCTTCTTCTCGCCGTCTTCCTCTGAGCCGCTGCTCTTCTTCTTCACTTTCACGCTCTTCTTGGGCGGCTCGAGGTTGATGCCGGCGTCCGCCGTCCAGTCGGAGTAGTCGCTGGAGTAGTCGCTGGGTGGAGGAGACGGAGGGAGAGGGTCTAACGTCCGCTCGCCCTTGTGTGGTTTTTGTGCCCCGTTCGTTTTTTCTTTTGCCCGTCTTACCTCGAGCTACTGTGGTCATCGGGCCCGGCCTCCTTTGGCCCCTCCTCCTTCTCCTCCTCCGAGGATGAGCGTTGATTTGCCGCACCTCCGCCTCCCCTGGGAACACACGGTTGTTTCATGGGTAGCGCGATGCAGAAACACAGCGAATCGGGGGAAACGGGTCAGAAGAGGATGGTGAGTGGGTGGGGTTAAGCTCCTCCCCCTCTGACCCTTTAATGGTTTTGAAACTGCTGAACTGGATGTAGGCAGGTTACCAGAGTTACCAGGGTTACGTGTCATTTGATTTTGAAAACGTAAACTCCAACAGAGATCTCTTTATGAGACAAAGTCCCACAAAGTGCACAACACATTCCAGACGCGCGTCCACCTCGGAGGTTTCCTCTTCGTCGTCGGCGGCCTCGGCGCTCTGGCGGCTCGTCTCCTCCATAGCGGCTCGCGTGTGGTAGCCGTGGTTACCCTGGCTCCGCCTCCCTTCGTCGACCGCCTCGGACGTCGGGTGACCCTGGATGCAAAGTCTCTTATTAAACGGAGTTGCACCGAAGCGTCGGAGCAGTGATCAAGAAAAGGTTACAGACTATTAAAAAACACGTGAATTCACTCACCCTGCTCTCCTTAGGGAGGGAGTGGATGGTACGTCGCCTCCTCTCTGACTGATAAATATTGATCTCCTCCTCCCCTTTAGCCTCACGCCAGGTGATCTGTCTCCTACACACACACACACACACACACACACACTCGTTAATGCCCGTCTCCCCCGGTAACCGGAAAGCTTCCTCTCACTCTGCGTTACCTGACGGAGGCGTCCTCCAGCTCGGGAACCAGCACCCTGCGGCTCCAGGCCACCAGGTCCCCCTCCGTGGCCATCTGGCTGAGCGGGGCGTTGCTGTGCATCTGGCGGACCCCCTCGATCTGCCCGCTGCGCCGCAGGCCCACGTTGGGCGGAGAGTGCACCTCGGTGGGAGAACCCACGGATCCTGAAGGAAGGATACAGGAAAGGAGAGGTGAGAAGCCGAGAGTCACTTTCTAGCCCTCAATAATGTCCTTCTTGGGGGGGGGGGGGAGAGTAGGAGACCTCCTGTCGCGGCCTTACCTCTGTTGGACCTGGCGTTTGCAGGAGCTGAAGGGTCGTTGGTTCCCCGTCTCTGGTCCTGTTCCTGCTGCAGCCTCTGAATCATGGTGTCCAGGGGACTGGAACCGTCCACCGCCTGCTCACTCACCACCTGGTTTAGACCTGGAGAGACTTTTCATTAAAAAGAAGCCCAAATCCAACTAAAGTCACGACTACAAGCGCGACTGTCTGGTGATGACTGGAAGCTGTGTAGAACATCTCATGCCTGAGGAAGTGACCCCCATCTGCGGGATGAGCTGCTCGTCCCTGCAGCCCTCCCTGCCGGGCACCAGCCGCTGGTATCTGGGCGGGTGGGGGTTCCCGTCCACGTCCACCAGGAAGGGGGGGGGCATCAGGTGCGGCGCCTGCTGGGTCTGCTCGTCCAGCACGTAGTTGTTGGCGTCTCGGATCAGCGGCCGGTAGTCGGTGTGAAAGAACATCTGGTCCGCTATCTGAAGCGAGAAGGTACGTTCGTCAGTGACGGCAGAAGGGGGAGAGGTGGGGGGAGAGGTGGGAGAGGTGAATATAAAAAGAAAAAGATGGCGTCACCTTGTCGTATTTGCTGCTGGAGCCGAAGCCGAAGATGAGCAGGTGTCCGTGGGAGTCGGTGGCGGCGAAATGCTGCCCGTCTGGACTGCACTTACAGTCAAACAGCGCTCCGTGGCCTTGACCCTCAATCTATTCCCACAGAGGAGGGGGGAGGGGGGGGGGGGGGGGGGGGGGGGACATCACCAGAACGTCACCTACACCGCGACTGTTTTGATGATCAGCAGCCTGCTTCCTTCAGGCTTAAATTGCTCTTGTTTCTTGTTCTTCTGGGTTTTATCTTTATGGTGGAAATTGTAAGTCGCTTTGGATAAATGACCTGTAATGTAATGTAGGGCTTTCTGGGGGTCTTCAATCACAAGATGAAGACATTTCTAAAGAGGATTTTTCTTATTTTTACTCCTTTCCCTCGTTTAGTCCCTTGTTTGGTAAAAATAAAAGGAAGAAGAGACTTCCACAGGCTTTGGTGTACTGGGTAAAAGGCGTGTTTGCTCTGAGGTCGTGTCGCCCTGAAAGGCTGTTGAAAAGGGGCGTTACAAAAGTGAGAGAGCAGCGCTGATGAGACGCCGTTGAAAGGTGATCCGGCAAAGTAAGAACGAGCAGAGCGCGACGTGCTGCGCAGGACGCGTTATGACGCGGTTACAGGTGTAAAACCAGCTTGAACCGGTTACGACGCCCAACGTGTCCATCGAACAGGAAAGAAAAACACATTGTTCCCCTTTAATAAATTCATTGTTTCCTTTGTGCTCCTAAACAACATCGTTGTGGATACTTTCAAACCAAAACTCTGCCATCACGCGCTCCGTGTTATCAAACAACACCCGGAGGCCGGGTGACTCGCTGGTTTTCTGAGAATGGGATTAACGCTGCCCCCCCCCCCCCCCCCCCGGTAACCATGGAGACACCGGCGGGAAATACAACAGTGCACGCGCGCTACCCCGTTTGTGTCAACCGCCGCTACACATGTTGACGCCACACTGCAGGCGCAAGCGAGGCTAGCGGGGCTAGCGGGGCTCACCATGTTGAAGTAGGAGCGGATCTTGGCTCCTCTGTGCAGGTCCCACACGATGCAGTTGCCATCGTGTCCCGCTGAGAAGAGGATTCTGGGGTCGAAGGGGTGTGGCTCCAGCACAAACACTTCGTCCTCGTGGCCCTGTCACCGCATAATATAAACAGCAGCGTCAAGTGATTATAACGACCATGACAATCCTTAGTTATACAATTCTGAATAAATACAGCATGAGGCTGTGACGCGTTTCCTCACGGACCATCAGGACGTGCACCAGCCCGCCGGTGGTGGAGTTCCACACCTTCAGCGTCAGGTTGTTGGCCGCGGTGATCACCGTGCCGTCGTGGCGATCCCACGCTACCATGGTGACCTTCAGCTTGGTGACCTTGTTTTCCAGCGGAGGGGGGTTGTACTTCCTGGAAGAGGAGGTGGTGTGTGTGTGGGGGGGGGGGGGTGGTTGTGTGTTGTTGGTGATTCAGTGTCATCTCCATATATTCACAAACACACACAGACACGCACGACAGGTCTCGGATTTCGTAGCCAACACGATGGATTTTTGACCGATTTAGATTGACACCGGCGCTGCATCATCACAACACACAACTGAGCACTGCGGAGTTTAACACACACACACACACACACACACACACACACACACACACTTACCCGGGTAATTTGGTCTGCATGTCCAGCAGAATGCTCCTCCAGCCCTGAGGCTGCAGCTGCCAGATGCGCGCTGTACCATCCCGACTGCCGCTCACGAACCTACAAGACACAAAACACACAATCAGCTTTGTCAACACGTTTTCATGAGCAGTTCATCTGTAAATATACCACTTGGTTCTATTTCAGCTGTCTGCACTACAATGGACACTTTTGTCTCTCTGCACAGCATGATACGCTAATTGTGTGTGTGTGTGTGTGTGTGTGTCCCATCTCCTACACCCTTCCTTTTTGCATAGACAGTGCACCTCCCGCTCTGCTGAGATTACAGTGACCAAGGGGAAGCACAGCTGAGCTTGTTTTTCTGCAAACGCCACAAAGACACACACAATTCAACACTCGCGTGTGCATGTCCTTGTGTGTGTGTGTGTGTGTGTGTGTTAGAGTGAGTATTACATAGTAAGTAACGGTCTGCTGACACCAACCAAGTGGCTTTACAATACTCAGAAGTCACATACAAACAAACAGCGCAGCGCACACAACATGAACTTCACTTGTATGTAGCGCTCTCCCCCCCACACACACGCGCGCACACACACACACACACACACACACACACACCTACCTGTCACTGCAATGGGAGAACTGGATGCTGTCAACTTTGTCCTGGGTGAGAGAAATGCAGGAGGAAAGTCAAAACTAAGCGGGCCGCGAGTTCTTCTCTTTTAGTTGTTGTTTTTGTCAAAAACAACAAAAAGTAATGAGGTTTAAAAGCACCGTGCTGACTCACCGTGTGGGACTCGAGTTCAGAGATCTTCTCCGGTTGGCCGGACCCAAAGTAGTACACCCTGATGATGTGATCCGTGCTTCCTGTGGCCAGGAACATACCGCCTGGACACACGTGAGCATTAATCATCTGTATTAAGAGTCATACACACAAGGATAGAAATGGGCTGCAACTCAAATATCGACGGTGTGTGCGCGGCCGTCTGCCGAGTTAGCGCTTCAGTTCATCTCAGCTAATTGAACCGTGTGAGAAAGTGAGGAGTGAGACGAGCTCACCGGCGCTGAAGGAGGAACAGATCATCTGGACACCGGGTCTGGAGCGCTCTGTGAACTTACTGGGCCTCTGACTGGACACACACAGACACATACGTCTTATTTAATATCATCGTTTCACAGGCAAAGTCAAATTCAATCCACGAGGACAATTTAAGAGTGGCCATTAACAGAAAAAGTAAAAGAAATTAAACCCTAAATCCTCAACTGAACCATAATGTCTTAAAAGAATGTTCTCAAATCAGCACCACTCAATAACAAAACCCAGCAAACAGCCTGTGAAAACACAGAATCTGTGTCCTTCCAGCAGAATGAAGGCGTGAACCCCGCTGCGTGGACCGCGTCTGTGTCCCTCACCAGAACTTGAGCGTGCGTGCGTCCCACTGCCAGAAGCAGATGGTGCCGTCCGCTCCGGTGGAGGACAGGTAGCGCTTCGAGCCGCAGCAGAGGGGCGAGAACTGCGGAGGAGCGAGCAGGTAGATGTTACAGAGCAGTTCAAATAGTGGAGACGATTAACCGGCAAGAGCTTAAAAAGCATCCAGCTTATATAACAACAAACATCGATTAATATTTGTTTTGCGATTTGTGTCTTCTGCCTCGGCCTTTTAACAACATTCATTACAGATCGCGCGGGACCCAGTCTGGTATGAGTAAACGGCCCCCCACCTGCAGCGAGGTGATGGAGGCGGCGTGCCCCTCCAGCACGGCCAGCGGGGCGCAGGTCTGCAGGCACCACACCCGGATGGTCTTGTCGCAGGAGCCGGCTGCGATCATGGTGTTCTCGTAGCTGACGGTCATGTCGGATATCTCGGCGGCGTGTCCGCGCAGCGTGGCCAGCAGGCGGCCGTCGTCCGTTCCCCAGATCTTCACCAGGCAGTCGTCTGAGCCCTGAGGGGGGTGGGAGGATTCTGTGAATGTCCGATCGATACACAGACGCTACTGGTGAGCCAGGTCCGTGTTTGTGCTGGTCCAGCATCGCGGGGTCCCGGTTTGCGGGTCGACTTACAGAATGTGAAGTTACGTTAACACGAGGAGGACAAAGACGGGTCAGAACGTTATCGCGTCGCTGTGAGAAACAGGAGGACTGAACCAAGAGAGACGATGCATTTGTAGAACGTTCATTATGAGTATACAAATAAAGTCTTTGCAGGCTAAGAAAGAAAGAAAGAAATAATCCATAAAGTGAAGCCTAAAAGAAACGTGGTGGCCTCGAGGCGGCTGCTTACGCTCCTTCAGTCCGCACTGACTGATCAGGACACGCACACGTCTGCGAGGAGCCACAATCCACAGAATGGGATCCCTCAGGAAAGGGATTTACACAACTAGGAACTCATTGAGTGTCTTGGGTGTAAAAGGGCAGCAACAAGTACATTTACAAAATGTGGTGTCAGCATTTTCCTCCCCTAATTGTCCCCTCCCTTTGAGCCTGGAGGGCGTTTTACACGGCAGGCCACTCACTCGATTTTGGAGGAAATGTGAGATGAAAAACAGCCCCCGCCCCCACCCCTTTTGAATAAATCAGCCTCTCCGTCGTCTGACAGGAGCTGTTACTTTATGTGCGCTGATGAAAACAGCCAGCGTTCCCTTGGTGGTTCAGGAGGAAAAGAAAGCTGAAGGACGAATCTCAGCTTTGGCAGCGAGGAGCAGCGACGTGCAGAAGGCGAGCGGCCGCTGGGAGCCGCAGACCCGACGCTCGCCTCCCCGGTCGCGGCCGCCGTGAAGTTGCGTTGGCCGTCGTCACGACGACGAGCAGCAAAGTCCTTAGCGGCGGCCGCGACAACGAGCTCGCAGCCGCTTGCACGGCTGTGTTACGCGGATCAATGCGGCTGTTTGCCGATCGACTGTCGAAGTGAGGCGGCGTGCACATCGATCCCAGAGTGACCCCGGTGGACCATCAGGGTGAACAAAACAAACACGCCAGCCCGTCCGTCCGTCTCCCGCTGCAGAGGAGTCGGTGGGTAAAAAAAAAAAAAACAGAAGAGATACGAAAATACAAAAATATATAAATAAAAATGATCTTGTGATGAAAGGAGACAGCGGGCGAACGAGAGAGAGAGAGAGAAAACAAGTAGAAAGTGAGGGAGACCAAGAAGGAATTTTAATTCTGGCACTTAGCCAGCGCCTCAGAGGAAATATTTTCCCCAGTTATGATGAGAAATGGCAAGAAGGAGGTGGGGGGAGGAGGGACGGGGGAGGGCAGGAGAGAGGGATGGGGAGAAAAGAACAAAGGACGGGCAGCACAGGATACGGGAGAAAAAGAAGGAGCGAGAGAGACGGGAGAGTGAAAACTGTGGGAAGAGATAACCGGAGAAAAGAAAAAAGCGACGGGGGAGTCTAACCCCCCCCCCCTCCCTCCCTCCCCCACACACACACGCTCACCCTCTCCCCCTCCTTCTCCTCAGCAGCCAGCCATTTTTAGAGATTTATTAAGGAGTGAAAGCTGAAAATGGTGTAGAGCAGCGCGAGGACGGCGACATTAGACCAACAGAGGCCTATCTTTCCGTCTCCATGGCGACCGGCAGCGTGGCGTAAGGGAAGCCAGCGCAGCAGCACGTGTACACAAAGGGGCATTCAGAGGGCAAAGGTCAACGGCTTCCTCTCAAAGACTGGGAAAGGGGAAGGGGGGGGGAGACGAGGAATCCCCCTCCTCCGTGAAAACTGTTCGCACTGTTTACCGGGATAAAGACGTGCGAGTCAGACGGTAAAAAGGCAACACGCAGGAAGGTAAACAATAATTATCTCCACCACAACAACAACAACAACACGGACCCTCGACCACGAGGCAGGAACGATCACACACACACACACACTGGCATCACCTCGAAGGGGCTTAAAACCTCACCGTGAAGATGCGGCGGCCCGTCCGGTCGAAGGTGACGCAGTACACGGAGGACAGGTGTCCCAGGATCCTCTTGTGCATCTTCATGTGCAGGTACACCACGGTGGGCACCAGCTGCCGGAGGCGGTACGAGCCGTTTAGCCGGCGGCCGAAGTTCGTCTCGACTGCAGGAAGGAAAAAAAAAAAAAAGAAAAAAAAGGTGAAGTGTCGCGGTGAGGACGGGCGGGCGAGGCGGCGCGGTACGCAACATGTGCACGGGACAGCGTGAGCGTCCTCACCGATGCTCGGGGGGCTCCCGTAGATGACCGGCGGCTCCGGGGGCCGCCCGCAGTGCAGCGCGCGAGCGCGATCCCTTCACACCACATGCTTGCAGCCTGGAGGAAGACGGACACCGATGAAGACACATTAGGAGGACGCTGAACGGAGGGAGGGAGAGGGGACGGGGGGGGGGGGGGGTTACGCATTCGGGTACGCACTCTTGCTGGTGCGGAGGAGGTTCTGCCGGCCCGCCCCCAGCAGGCTGTTGAGTCCAGGGACGCTGGCGGGGACATCTGTCTCCAGCAGGGGACAAACTCTGGAGCAGACCTGCAGCAAGTGGTCTGGACTGATGTGGCGGTAGAGCTTCACCTGAACACACACACACACACAATGAACTGATGAACTTTCTGCTTTTGATAGAAATAGAAAGAGTAAGGATAATGGGGTGCAATCAATAAAAATATGAAATAATAATAATATAAAAAATAAAAATATGAAATAATATAATATCTTTTAATTGAATGCAAGTCAAAATAAATGTTTATCTTCTAAATGGATCCAGTTCAGATCCAGTTCAGTAGGCTTAAACTGCTTGGGAGGGAGGGGGTGTTATGAACACACTCACCCTTGGTGTGTGTGTGTGTGTGTGTGTGTGTGTGTGTGTGTGTGTGTGTGTGTGTGTGTGTGTGTGTGTGTGTGCAACATGTTTTAGAGACTTATTTCAAATGCAGTTGTTACTAATAAAATACTCTATTTTCTCACACACGGCTCATTTGAAAATCAAATAAGCCTCAAATGGAACAATTACTCCCATTATCTCAACACTGTCACTATGAGCGACCCCCCTCCCCCGCCACCCCCCCCCCCCCATCGTCAAGGTACACACACACACACACACACACACACACTTAATGACCCCCTAATTGCTCTCAACACGTTGCTGGTTCAGAGACCAAATCAGTGCTTCTAAAAAAAATGTTTTAATTTGCTTGCTTCTTACGACCCCCCCTAGAAAGCACGTGGCCCCCCATGACTGAGAGGTTACCTTCAGTTTCAATACACCTTTAAATAAAAAGCAATAAACATCAATCCTTCCAGTTCGTTATTGTCTTCCAAATATAGAGATTGTACAGCTGAAAAAAGGCTTAAACACTTGAGCACAAAATATAACATGTGGATAAATGTTACATTTTGGATGGATTTAAAAACTGTTAAAATGATAAAGAACAGGCTGCACATCTGGTGAGACGGTTCTCCTGATCAATTCCAGATGCAAAATTGTAATAATTAAACATCTAATTAATTCACCTTAATTAATTAGCAAAATTAATATTAATAACTACAATGTCATTGAAGTCAAAATCCCCGTTGCTGACCCCCCCCCCCCTCTCCTCTCCTTTCTGTTCAGCAGACATCAACCTCCACCGACCCCCCCTCCCTCACACACACACACACCCCCACACTGCCGCTTTCTATTCGGTCAAATAATTAAAACCTATCCGCAGTAAGCTGTTTTCCTTCTAAATAGAGGAAATTATGCAGGACAGTCGAAAGGGAGGCTGGAATGGGAGGAGAGGGGGGGAGGAGGGGGAGGGGGAAGCCAAGCAGGAAGAGAGAGAGAGAAAAAAAAAAAACGCAGCCAGAGCCGCCGTTAATAATTTCTTAAAATGTATAAAAATAAATATGTACACACGTCGCGTTGAATCCGCGCATCACGCGACCCCGTCTCGTGCGTCCGTGCGCGCGGGCGAGCCACGAGATGCGAGTGCGCGCGGAATAAAATAGGCCCCATCGGGTAATTATTTATATATGCAAAAGGATAATAAAATAGTGGATGGGGAAGGGGAAGTGGGGGGGGGGTTGTCGCACGTTCGACACACAGGCAAAAGGGTAAATAAATATGTAAGCGGTGATAGATTCTCTCCACGCCCCCATGCCCCCCCCCCCCCCCCCCCGTTTGTTTACATGACAATTACTGCGTCGATTGTAAGATACAACGTTACCTCTCATCTTCACGCGATCTCATCTCTTGTGCTTTATACCCCCCACCCCCCCTTCAGAGTTACAAACTGCTCTCCCAGATGACCCCCCCCCCCCCCCCCCCCATCCCCCCCTTCAGATGGGACTCCAAAAGCTTTACTGAACACACTGTTTATTTTCTCCTCCAAAACCCCAAATAACCCCCCATGCGTGTTTTCAACACATGCACGCAAATTATGGTTCTCGCAAGTCTCGAGCGCCTCCATCTCTGGCTCGTGGCGCAAGGAGTCCCTCCCCCGGATCCTGGCGCTCCTACACCACAACACGCATGACGTATCATCCACCCCCCCCCTTCCAACAACTATTAAAACCCTTTTCTGACATGCATGGAACCAAACTCTCGCACCACACAGGGACCCCGGAGCCCTCAGTGCCCCCTCCTGCACCCGACCAAAAAACTAAAAAAGATCCCCAACTTGAAACCTGCAAAGTCTTTTATTTTTGTTTCTTTGCCACCTGATTTAAAAATTGCGGGAAATTCAATTTTTGATTTGGCTGTGTAAAAACTTTTCCCTCAGTCACACGGCTCCCTCACCAGATCCTCGTAGGTCCCCGGGTGCTCCTGCCCGGTCCAGTCCAGCCGAATGGGGAGCAGCTGAGATGGGTGGTGGTGGTGGTGATGGTGGTGGGTGGGGGGAACAAAAAATAAAAAAGAGCCGCCTGAGACCGAGTCACACATGTAGCGATATTTAAAAACAGTCAAGCGATCAAAGGGGGGAAAAAAGGCAACATTACAAAGTGCAGCGGAGGAAGCATCTCTGTGGCGCGCTTACCTCCTTCTCCTCCACCTCCCTTATCAGGGTCTGAAATCCGGATAAAAATAGAAAATTACACCCCGTGACCATCCCGGACGCATTGTGCATTATCCCCCCAAAAGCGAGAAGACCCACCTGGGCTGCTTTCTGACACGGTCCGGCTTCTAGGAACCGGGCTATTAGGAAGTAGAGCTCTGGTGCGGTCGGAGGGGGGAGAGAAGAGGACGGGAGCTGCGTTAGAAGAGGGCACCGAAGGAAACTGAGCGAGGAAAGGGTGGAGGAGGGTGGCGGAGGAGGTTATTAAGACGACCCGTGACACATTTGTTCGCATCTCCCCCCTTTTTGTCCTCTCTCCGTACTCACCAGAAGTCAACTGCGCGATGAGCGTGCTGTCTGAAGCCCATGTCGGCGGTGTTTTTGCGGGCTGTGAGCGGCCGCCCTGTAGCTGTCACTGTTTATCCACCAGGAAGAGGCTGCCTCCATTCAGCTCCGCGCGCACACGGTCCCGGCTGCGTCTGGGTATCCCTCCGCCCGGCGGAGAACTAGTGCGACGGAGTTTGATTTTTTTTTTTTTTTAAACACATAAACCGTGTTTATTTAGCAAAAGATAACAGCCGTTGAAAGACTCCCCCCCACCTCCTCTCCCTGCGAGGAATTCAGTCGCTTGTTTGTTTGAACCTCCACCCCTTCTTCTCTCAATCTCTAAAGCGCAAGCCCTCCCGCGGAGGAATACGAGCGGGGTGCTGCGCCCCGCGCATGCAGAGGGGAGGTAGAAATGGCAGCCTGCTGTTAGAGGAGGACACATTGCTGCAGAATGGCCGTTACCTCCGTGGCCGAACGACGCGTCTCACGTTTTAGTCATTACAGGCACACACGTCCACGGTTAAAGAACTTGTAGCGGAGGGTTTACAGCGCAGTTCCCGTCCTATTTTTCTGCAACGCATTGGGCAGCTGCGGATGTAGAACATGGCTGCCGTGTTCGGAAGGGGATTTACAGCCGCTCCAACCGTTTTCAGCGAGTTGTTATTAAATAACGCACCTTTCACCGTCCTCGTTGTGTGTGCGTGTGTGTGTGTGTGTGTTTGTGTTATCTGTCGCGGTTGTGTAACGAGATGTCTGGCTCGCTGTGTGAGAGCCGCTCGGCGGGGAAGTCGTCCATTTCTCTTCCTAATTCTGGCAGGCAGTAAAATGGGGGAAGGGTTGAAGAAGAAGAAGAAAGGGGGATGCAGCTTAATTAATGAAACCTGATGAATTACAGGGATTTTAATGCCAATGAGACGTTGAAGCAAGACTACCAAAGAAATGCATCACACGGCTCCCTAGAAAAGTTGTGAAAGAACAACACTCGTGTCCCACATCAAATAGCACGTTAATACTCTTGTGTAACAACAGTGTGTTTTATATATTAATTGCACGCGTGTTCTCTGCAGCATTTGGCCCCCGGAGTTTCCCGGAGGGACGGTCCGTCTTTTGACCTTTTGAACTTTGTACTGGTGCGTTCGTTCGCAGTGAGGCGTTGATGGAGAAACGCTTTACCAACCGCTCTGTCGGAAAGTACTTGACACCACTTCATCAGATGCAAAGCGAATCTTTTATCGTGAGGCCGACGTTGTGTTTTCTTACAGCAACCCAGCACAAAATCCAGTGGGAGACATTTCCACGAATACGGTGTCATTATTTTCTTTCCCCCTGTATAATAACCCCGGCGTGCATTGTGCTGCTGTTGTGTAATTACCCAAATAATGAATCGCCGGTACTTCACCATTGAATGCGTTTTGTTTGATCCAATGCGCTTGTAAAGCCACCACTTTCCTATTTATAGAGAGATCTCTGTCTGACTTAAATCCCCAGCAGAGAAGAAGCCGACGATCCACCAACTTGAGCAGATGACTGATTCAATTTCAGCCTGTTATTGACTGAAAGTGTTCTTTTTGGGGATGACATTTTGGCTGTCATACCGCTTTAATGTATTTAAATAAGAAACTACGTTATTCTAACAAATGGTCGATAACTGACTCACTACTAAGCATTTAGGAATAGATAGCAGTGCAGTGTCTTTGTATCAGGACTCGTTTTTGGTTCAGTTTTTGTAGCTTTTACTCGATCTTGTCTCGGCCTCAGAGGACTCTGGAGTTTATTTTGGGACCACAACATGCGGGAATCTCACCAAGCTGTCAGATGTATTTGTTAACGTCAATACTGTGATTGCTTAGAGAAGAAGTTTTTCCATCGAGTCCTCTCTCATGAAGAAGGATCTGCCTTCATTCAGACAGCCGCGAACCAAACACGGACCCAACGGGCAGGAACGGGAGCGTCAAGCGACTTCCCAACGCTTTTAACGCCAACGGCGCTCCGGCAGGCGCGTTTACTCGCTCCCCCTCGATGAGGCGGTGAGTTGGTTTCCGATGCTTTGTGGTTCCCGGGCCACACAGCTGTAAACTCCCAGGCCCGATGATGCTGATGATGATGATGAGGATGATGAGGCAGTGCTTGATTACTGACTGTTGCTCACCAACAAAATGTTGACCCTCCAGGATGCCAGACGGACCGGTGAAACACGCGTGTGGAGGGTCACGCCGCGTGCCGCTGTGCTGGCTGACGCGGCCACAGGGCGGCGACCTCTTCACACCCGTTTAACCCAAGTGCTTCCTGAAGTTCTTGCCAAACGGCCGACGACGCTTCCTTCCAAGATATTTGTGTGGTTTTTGAACGTTTGTCTCAGTTGATTATCGCGCGTGTTTGTTCGCTGAGCTCTACACTTTTTTTTTTTCCTCCCTGTTCTGGATTCTCTGGTTTGGGTCAAAAGGTCGGATCATCTGGTGGGTTTTCCATTGGAAAAACAAACCTGTCAGAACCAGCAGTTGCTACCGCCGTGTTGTTCAAATGGGCTGCCGAGGATACGTTTTTAACTTGGCCTCCAGCATCTGTGGTATTCAGACTCCGTGTTGAAAAGAAAGTGAAACTCGTCCACATCGTTCGTCCGTCAGGGAGCGAAAGTTTGTCACTAAAATGAAGAGAGCGTAACCGCTGTCGACAAATGCTGACCTCTCACTTCCTGACACAGCAGTTGTATTTAACACAGCAACGCCCCGGGCGACCCGTCACACACACACACACACACACACACACACACACACAGCGCCGGCATTGTGTTGGTTTAAAAAAGTACATGAACATGGACAAAGTGAAAAGCGGCTCTCCAACGAGCTGAACGCAACACACACACACACACACACGTTACCCGAGGTCGCCCAAACAAACAGCACCGGTGACAACAAAGAAAAGAAGAGAAATAACAGTTTTTTTTTTTAAAACACCCGAAAATAATTACATGACGTCTACTTTTCTTTTTTTTTATTTTCAAAATATTCTTCCAACAGGATGAAACTCCAGAGAAGCCCAGAGGGTCCAAAGCTGATAGAGGCGTCTAGAACAGAAGCACCACTCATTATTGCTACGTCACTGCAGGACAAGGCTGTCAGGAGGGGAGGCAAATGAAAAGATAAGTGTGGGGGGGTGAAGTCAAACGCAGAGACCCGTGGACGCGTTCGCTCATCGCACACATACAAAAGGAGCTGTGTGAAACGCAGCGGAGTCTTAAGAACTTAAATATTATTTTTAAAAGCTGCAGAAAGACCCTCGGTGGAGACCACAAAGACACGCAGAGCTGGTCTGGAGAGCTCCACAGTTCACGGACCCCCCCTTCGGGGCGAGACGAGGGACATCTGCAGCCGCCCGGTTAAAAGCGCCTCACCCCGTCTCTTTCTAGGTGTCTCAAGAGCGGCGATACGGAGGGGAGGGGAGCAGGAACTACGCTGGGGGGGGCGAACGGACGCTGGTCGTCCCGTCTCTACTATCACAAGTCTAAAAAAAAAGAATTCAGCATGGTATAAAAATCGTCAGTAAAAAAAGGATGCTTCTGCTGCCGCGGCGTCGGGGGGTTGAGGGGGGGGGGGGCGATGTCGGAGGACGCGCCCCGTCGTCTTCACGCCTTCTCCGCGGCCGCCTCCTCAGTTACCTGGAAGGGGAGGACAGAGATGAACCCGTCACTCGCCACAAAGGTGCATTTCCAGTCGCTCTCCCCGCTCGCCACAGCACTCCACGGCACACTGTCGGCGTAAACGTTTGCTCGGCTGACGTGCAACTTTTGAGATAAAGGTTTAGTGTCCAAACACGCACTCTGGAGACGGAGTAGAGACACTCGAGCGTACCCTTAACTCGGACCGTCTCACTCTGGCCTCTCACTGACATCAAGGAGGGAGCCGAGCTTCTGATGGAGGACACACTGACAGACGGACGAGACACGTAGATCTGTGTGTGTGTGTGTGTGTGTGTGTGTGTGTGTGTGTGTGTGTGTGCGTGTGTCAGGGTGGTGATGCAGTGGAGGAACAAAGATGCGGATGAAGTGGAAGTCGTGTTTTTTACACAAATGGACAAAATAAGGATAAAGTTATTTTCTCGCCCGTCCACGAAAGAATACGTTTTTATTTCCGATTTCCCCCCTCGTACCTCTTTGGTCTTGGTCTGTCCGTTCTGGGCGGGGCCGTCGTCCTTCTTACCCTTGGCGACGCTTTTCTTTGCCTTCGCGCCCTTATCGTCCGCCACCTTCTGCACGGGGGCAATAAAAGAGAAGGAAAAAATACCAAAAAACATGATCAGAGATAGATTTTACAATCTATAACCTACTACTTCAAACAAATGTGCCCTGCATAGTGGAGATGTGGCTGCAAACTATGACACACTGTAACAAGTCCATGGGGAAATGAATAAATTGTGCGTGTGTGTGTGTGTGTGTACCTTCACGATGGCCTTCTTGGCCTTGGTCTCAGCCTTTGGTGGAGCAGGTTTCTACAAATTAAGCAGAAGACAGTTAGGACAGACCAACTGAACAGTGCATGGTTATTGAATTAATATTATTCATGTATTATCTGTGTTATTAACCTTCTCTACACTCTTTAAAACCCTGTTTCTTCGACTACAAGAGCGGTTGGCGAATTCATTAGGACCGCCTCCCTCTCTACATCATTTATAATAATCATGTTAAGCAGTGTGATCTGACACTATTCCTGCTTCTTCTCCGAGGGGGCCGAGCAGAGACAACAGCAGAACGTCTGCATCAGACGGGGGTTCAGATTCTGGCCGCTCAGTGCGTTTGCTGCAGAGCTTTTCCAGGCCGCCGAGCGCGGAAGCTGCCCTGATGCCACGAGCCACAGCAGCAGTGCTGCGAAAAGGTTTCGTCGTGAGACGCTCAGCTCTTCTCTAGGAATCAGTGACCTGGAGGAGGCGCGGAACGACTACATGCAGGAAACTCCGACGCTTGTTTGAAGACACCGGAGGGACTACATGTCTGTGATGCACGACATGCTAGTTGCTAGATGCATTTCATTAAATAAGCCGTTCCATCGGGGCCGGTCAGAGACAAGGAAACACCAGATCAGAAAACATGCAAAGAAATTACAGTCAGCATATTTGAATAGTCAAAAGTAGTTTGATAATTTGGGAAATACACCTTTCCATCTTCTTACTCTCATGTCTGCTTATTAAAAGGACACTAGTCAAGAGATGCTTAGCTTAGCTTAGCATGAGCGATGGACACAGCTGGCACCGTGCTGGGGTCCGAAAAAATAGTCCCCCCCGTCCAAACAGTAGTTAGTTGGTTTTACACTTTTTTTGCACGGATTAAAATAAATGAGATACAATGTGTTTATTTGTGAGCTTTAGGATTCCAGTCTTTAGCCACGTGGCTGCAAGCTGCGTAATAAGCATATTTCCCATAGTGTCAAATGATCTCTCCAAAGAGCTCATGCAAACGGACAAACCTCCATACGGTTTGGTTCAACATGTAAAGTTCAACACAGATAAAAAGATATTGATGTATGTGGAGCTGCATGATCACGTAGAACACATCCGCAGTAACGTGCTGGATACTATCCTAGTTGTCCGTGGTCAGACCTGCAAAAATATTTGAGCATTTTTGCATTCTACGGTTGGATCACGCAGCCCCAAACATCAACAAGCCGCTGCACCAGACGAGACGAAGACGGACAAAGACAACGGAGAAAAGACATGCGTACCAAGCCGGGCGCTCAGGGAGCACGTTTATGGAATCGCCTCGATCGAATCCATAAAACTGGGTGAGGACTTTGCTCTGAGCCTTGGTAGTATGACACCTCCTATCCCACAAGACTGAGCGGGAGTGGGGTGATGAGAAGAGAGGTGAGGACGGGAAGTGAGTGGGGAGGGGGGGGGGGGGACGAAACTTACCGCTAACAACCTCTCTGACCTTCTGGGGGTCTATCGGAGCAAGGGATGATCAATGAGAGACAGCGACAGAGAGAGACAAATATCAGTTGTACCTTCGCAGGCTGATCGTCGGCGCCTGGTGTCCTAATCATTAACCGGTCATGTGTTCATTCTCTCTCACACACACACACACACACACAAATACACAGCACGTAAATGCACGCCCCCACACGGCACACACTGATCAACATTTACCTCCTGCTTCGTCACTTTGGAGGCCTCCTTGCCCTCGGGACCCTCTGGAGACTGAACAAGGAAGGGACAGACCGTTACCACAGAACCACATTGTCCCATTTGGGGCTTTTCGGGGGGCAGTGGACCTCTAGGGAGAGATATCATGTCGACGGTACCCCCCCACACGTGCATCGTGGTGCACATCATCTGAAAGCCGGGGACCATGAGGATCCGATTGAGATGCACCTCAGAAGTCTGTGTCAAGTTGTTCTGGTCATGAATCAAGACTTAATTCGTTACTCGTTCATTAACCGCTCAGCTGCCCCTGGATGGTCAATAAGAGGGGCATCATTCATCCTCTGGGGGTCCTCGTCTCTGGCGGTAAAGTTTAACGAGGCCCTGCTTGTCCTAAAGGTCACAGCAGGTCAATTGATAGAGTAAAGTTGACTTTTAAACCCTCGTCTCACAACCGGTACATTTAAAATGACTTCTTCTGTTTGCATCCTCTCTGGGGAGGAAGCAGCCGACTAATGCAAATCACTAAGCAGTACATCAAGGTCAAAAGGTCAAACTGAAATCTACTAAGAAACGCTGTACTTCTACAACGGAAATCGTACCGTTGTAATGAATATTAACCGGCTTAAACGTGTGTTGATTAAGCAATCGTGAACAGATAAATCATCTTTCATCAGGAAAGAGTGAATATGTTCTAGAGTTCTTATTTTTTATAATTGTTAATTGGAAATGTGGGTTTGGGACAGCTGTTGTTGGATGAAAAATTGGATTAAATTGTATGTAACAACTTGGTTGCTCGTCGCAAGAGTTTTCCCGAATGGTCCATAATTAAACAAATGCATGTTGTATGTAACTTGATCCCTGGAGACGCACATTTGAATGTGTTCATCTCTTCAAACACCTGAGCTCCCATTACGCCGCGACGGAGCGTGAAGACGCACATGCTGCATCGCCGCCAACGCGCACATTGGAGGACACGCAGCTGGACTGCGGGCAGGTGAGGAGCGCGTGCGCGCCATGAGATGGAAATAGAACGCTGGTTTAAATCCCAGCAGGTTTGCAATCGAATCAATCTGCATGTGGGCGACCTCCGCCGCCCCTAGAGACCACCCCGACCCCCCCTTCCCACCCCGACCCCCCCCCCCATTCTCTGTCCTCAAAGGTGGATCCGCGCAGACAATGGCATGTTTTCAGATGGCAGAAAAGCCCTTTTCCATGTAGGCGCCGGTGCGCTGGAGCCCCGCCACGGCCTCTGTCCGAATGTCCCCGATCCGCTCTCGCTATTTCCGTCCTCTCCGCGGAAACGTGGGTCGGTTCTGTCGGCTTGGCGCTTTGGCGTCCACCGCCAGCAGATGCTCAACGCGAGACGGAGAGGTGGCGATGTGCCGTGGGTCTTATTACCAAGGATCAATACGGCGCGCCGCGGAGAACCATTACCGAAGCACGTCTCCGGTGAGATTTACGCATCTCTCCATCCGGCGGCTCCGCCTGACATTCGCCAGTGCGCGCAGTGGAAGGGGAAGTGGCGCATGAAACGACTTGAAGAAACGGCCATTGAGATGAACGCGGGCCACGTTCACTGCGTGACAAAAAAAGATGAATGTGTGTGGAAATAAATAAGATATCTCGCGTGGATAAAAAAATAAAATAAATCCAAAAGATTGCGACCGAAAAAATGCGCTTCCTCAAACTTTGGCATCAGCTCACCTGCCGCGACGTCGCCACAGAAATCGCGCAGCGCAATTTTCCTCGAATGCAAAAGAGCAGGAAAAAAAAAACAACTAAAAAAAAAAAAGAAGTACAGAGAAGTGAGCCGGACGGCGCGGGCGACACTCACCTTTCTCTTCGGCATTTTACGCGTGAATTATTCTCCACCAGGCTCGGACGAACTGAGGTCAAACCCGAAGGTCCAGAAAAAGGGGGGGGATTTGAACTAACCTCGGAACACGGGATCAATATCTAGGCACCTTCGGTAATATGTTGATTATATGCACTCCCCAAAACTCCACAGGCCCGCCTCCGACGGCCATTGGGCACAGCAGTGCGAATCCTCTCCTGCGCGGACTCCTGATTGGCTCCCCCCGTCTCCATGTAAATAGGTGACTCGCGGCGATTGGTCGGGGTTGATCAGGGGGCGCCTGTGATTGGCTGCGCGCTCTCCCGTGCGCAGATTCCACCAGTCGGCCGCGGCCGAGAGGGGAAAGCGGAGACGGGACCAATGAGAGCGGGGCGCGAGTCTAGGTGGATCTGGGTAATGTAGGATGCGAGAGGGAGAGAAAGGTATACATGAAAAATACAAAGGACCAACGGCACAACGTCAGGCTGGAGGAGTTCCAGAACTTCTGGGGGGGGGGGGGGGCATTGTGTCTTGTGGGGTTTCCACTGCTGTAAAGAACTAGAGCAGCATGCAGCTGATATGGCAGAACACATGAGTGCAGAGGCCCCTGCAGGACCCTTTATAATACTAGTAAAACAACACATTAAACTATATGAACATTGAACTATATGGACCCTATATATATAAAGGGTTGAAGGTAAAATTATACATTGAACATGCACTAGTGTTTCATTCGTGTTCATCTTTCCTTCAACTCTTCCACCCAGATGGTGGTTTGGAACACGCAGTTATCTTTCCCCGCACGTCATTGACACGTGAACAGCTTCTCTGGTTGGGTCAAAGAATATTTAGCATTATTGATAAGCCTTTTACAAAGTTACATTTTCAGACTTAACTTCAGACTGAAACTGAACTCTTTGCAGTATATGAGTACAAATAGTATATAAGTGTATACAGCAGATATAAGAAGACGATGTTGTCATAGTGACTTCAGCCACAGGTTTGTGAGTTTGGTCGTCAGCATTCTTTTTTTTATTCAGATGTGACTCAGGAGGTCGCAGCCAAGTACGACTAAACGCTAAAGGATATTTTTATTTTCTGCTAGATCTTTAGCACAACAATTCAAACACAGAAGGCCAAAAAAACGTTCTACAAAGAAATCTACATTAGCAGCCTCGACATTCTTGTGTAGCATCACAATAGACACACACACACACAAGCTCACGGGGACAAATGTCACAATAGACAGAGCTTTCCTGGCCAAAGCAACAAAACCCTTCATGTTAGAACCCAGAACACACAGGAGCAGGTAGCTCGATGCCGCTCCACTGTTCCCTCACACATTCACACAGTCAGCTAAACGGCAGCGAAAACACAATGAGGAACATGTACAGCAGATACACACACACACACACACAGAGGAGAGACACAAAAGGAGTCCACGCTGAAAAGGAATCCTCCCCGGAATGTGGGTTTAAATGTTTTATTTTATTCACTTCTCTCATGCCGTCCCTCGTCATGTCCTTTTGGTGGTTTGCTTTTGCAAAGAGGCACACAAAGTTTCCACCTCGAACTACGGTTACGCAAAAAACACACAACTGATCGATGGCGGCTTGGAAATTTTAGTGGTTTGATCCTCACACAATACATGAAAAAAAACACTTTTGACACTTTTGAAACATGTGCTCCAAAATAAATTCACTGAATATTATCAGGTCTATGCTAAATGCTAGCTGCTGAGAATGCTAGCCGCAGATGTTCAGCATGTGTGATGTTTAGCTACCTAGCATGCTAACATTGTCTGGGACACACGTCCAGCTGAAGGAGATTAGAATTAGACCAAAACGTCGAGCAATTAGAGGAAAATGTCCATTTACTATCAAAGAGGCCCTATAAAAAAAAGATGCCGTGACACTTGGTGAGTGATCCGAAACATCACGACGTGTGAACCAAAAGTGGGAAGTCTCATAAGTTCCTCAACTGGAGAGAAACCAGAGGAACCTCGTTGCACCTAAAAGGGCCCAAGCTGAGCCATGTGTCCGGCGTGTCCCTGCGTATACGTGGATCTTCAAACGGCCCATTGCAAGAGAATGAAAACGCCATCATTTAGATTTAGTGGTACACTGAACCTGAACCCGCTCCAGAGGCCTCATGGGAGGTTTGGCGGTTTTTACTTCAAGCTTTCCTTTAAGCGTGTGAGCCACAACATCAGATGTACCACTCGAGTTTGACAGTAAAGGACACTCTGAGACGGTTAGTGACAGCTCACCTATTTATCACGTTTACTCAGAGGCCTTTAAATGCTTCACCCGTCTGTGCTTTGGAAATAAACCCGTGAGCGCTGCCAAACAGAAATGACGAAAAAGACACATTCTGTAAAATAGCAATTAACAGCAAATGAACAGCGAATTGAACTGTGAGCCTCTCGCTTCTCGGAGCATCTTTAGTTTTTAAATGGACATAAACCGGTCAGGCGGGACTTGAGCGACACCTCGTGGATGCAGAGAGTCATTATTGTTGCATGGCGGCCATTGCATCGCACTTTCAGCACCGTCATCACCAGGGGAGAGAGTGGGGTGCTGTGTGTGTGTGTGTGTGTGTGTGTGTGTGCGTGCTCGTGGGGGTTCACGTCTTTAGACCTGAACGGAGAATTTAGGAGGACACTTTTACTTTTTTTCTGCATTTACATAAAGGAACGCCCTTCACATTTGACATACCTCAATACAATTTATTGTTCAATTCAAATTGTGTATGTTTCATTTGAAATAAAAGGAAATTTAAAAATGCATGTAACCTGACTGTCACCAATATGTCTATTAATAACACCGAATCCCCCCGCCCTGCATTACGTCATGGGCACCGGTGCATTCGCAGTTTTTTTTTTTTTTTGTTTTTTTTGCAGCCTTCCGTGCAGAGAAGCACGTACCTGCAGGAGACACCGGACAGCGGTTCTGCCTTCGAACGATGCTGCTTTGGTTTTAACATCTTTAAATAAATGCGACAGGCCGGTTAGGAGGCGGAACTTCCGTCCGGCTGTTTATCTCCGTGTGCAGCCTGCAGGCGTCCCGTGCACCATCACGTAACGAGGTAAGCTTGTTGACGTGCCACCTTTTTTTTTTGTTGTTGCGTTTTGTCAATTCGTTTCTTCGCCACCGATCCGCTGAAGTGTCGCTCAGGTACGTGCGCGTCTCTCTGTTGCACGCGCAGCTGCGCGTTGTAGCCGTTAGCTCCGCAGCTGAAATGCTGTAAGAATTATAATAAACATTTAAAATAACAAGGAGATCGGCTTTCTTTTTCCTCAGGCCTCCGACAGGAAGCCAGTCATCTCGACATTTGTGGGTTCTCAAAGATGCATTTTAGAGTGTGTGTGTGTGAAGATATTATATATATACACACACAATCTGCCAAAATGTCATATGACATCATCATTGTTCCTCCTGAGATGAGCTTCCTCCATGTTCATGTCAACTGAATATGACCATTGACTTGTTGTTGCTTGGAATGTCACGTTCGAGCTCTATTAGCTGAACTAACTTCACGCCCCACAGAGCTGCTGATGATCATTTTTCTTTTTTTTGCACTGATCCATTTGTCTTCTGAGATGCCGACGAATATCGAAACCGCTAAAATGTACCATTAATGTTCCCCGTGCCGATTGTGTCGTCTTCAAATCGTTGACAGCTCAAACTCTGAATACATTCAATGTGCAATGAAGTTAAACCGAGAGTCTTCATATTTTAGAAGCTGGAACCAGCCAATTTCTTGCAATTTGCTTAACTAAATTAGTAATTGATTATAAATCAGGGGACATACATCTTTTACAGTGCAACCACTAAATTATTCAAAAATACCCCTTGATTCAAAAGGCCTTTGGTTGCAAATGGGCTTCATGTTGGTTTTTATCATCGCCAAGATCTCTCCGTTTTGCACAGTCTCGCCTGTCGACAAGTGAATAAAAGACCAAGTGGTTTGTGAAAACTAACAAAGTAGGTCAACTGCCGAATGTCACACCCATCCAGGAATGTGGAACAATTTAAGACAAAGTGCCTTTAATGGGAACGCGCGGAGCTGGAAGGGCTGCAGCGTGGTGGCTCCATACAAGACCTTGCTCGGCCTCCCTGACTCCTCCCTTTTGATCGCAGGTTGTCCCGTCACACGCCCGCGCTATGCTGGGCTGTTTGCTGCGACGAGGCTGCGGCCCTCTGGTTCTCCTGTGGGGCCTGATGCTGCCTCTGGTCTCCCTCCGCCGCCTCAACCAACACGGGGGCCGGAGCCAGGGCCCGAGGGATCGGCCCAAGCTGCTGCTCCTGTCCTTCGACGGCTTCCGCTGGGACTACATCGACCGGGTCCCGACGCCAAACTTCCACAACCTCATCGACAACGGCGTGATGGTGGAGCAGGTGGAGAACGTGTACATCACCAAGACCTTCCCCAACCACTACAGCCTGGTGACGGGGCTGTACGCCGAGACGCACGGCATCGTGGCCAACGAGATGTACGACCCGGCCGCCAACCGCTCCTTCTCCATGGAGACGGACAGTATTTACGAGTCCTGGTGGTGGGAGGAGGCGGTGCCGCTCTGGTTGACCATCCAGAAAGCCGGAGGGCGCAGCGGGGCCGCGATGTGGCCGGGGTCCGACGTGAAGATCCACGGCGAGTTCCCCGATCGCTACCTCCCGTACAACGCCTCGGTCTCCTTCGAGGACAGAGTGGGGCGCATCATCGAGTGGTTCTCCGCACCCGAGGAGGAGGCGGTGGACTTCGGGGTTCTGTACTGGGAGGAGCCGGACGAGAGCGGGCACCTCCTCGGGCCCGAGAGCTCCCTCATGGACCCGGTCATCATCGACATCGACGGGAAGCTGGGCTACCTCATCAACGAGCTGAAGAAGGCCGGGCTGTACGAGAGCGTGAACCTGATAGTGACCAGTGACCACGGCATGGCGCAGCTTTCCCCCGACAAGATCATAGAGCTGGACCAGTACGTGAGCAGGGACCTGTACACCTGGGTGGACAAGAGTCCCGTGGTTGGAATACTGCCCGTGGAAGGTACCCCTTTAAAACACCTCGTTACATTCAGGGCAAATAATTCAGCTAATGTTTGAGTTTTGGGTTTGATGAGATGATCTGTTTGGTGGATATGAAGCTGTTGCTAGAAACGTAGCTACCAGGGGGGGGGCAGCTAACCTGGGTCCGTCCTAAAAGATGCTCTAAAACACGGCGATGAATGCGTTGTGTACGTTCTTCTCATCCGTCTTATCAGGCAGGAACGACGAGGTGTACAGCAAGCTGGTGGACGCCAACCCCAACATGGTGGTGTACAAGAAGGAAGACCTCCCCGAGCGATTCCATTATCAACACAACATCCGGATCATGCCCATCCTCATCGAGTCCAAGGAGGGCTGGACCATCATGCAGAACAGGACCGGGCCCTTCATGCGTACGTATCACTGCGTCTCAATCTTTGTGGCTGAACACGTTCGACTGTGTTCTTTCCCCCCCCTTGTTTCAAGCTCCAGTCTGCTCTATTAATAGCTTCACAAGCGCTCATGTATTACCAGTTGTAAAAGACGTCCATGTGTGTGTCTGGGTTTGGTAGTTTTTCTCGCGCCACCTTAAAAGACGTCCTTCCATAATTCCTAAAAAAGAAAACTCCCATTAGACATCTTTGACTGCGTGAGCGTCCCGTCCCAGCCAACCAGCTAACGTCCCCACCCTGCTGTTGAAGTCTATATAAAACAATAGCAGTTACTGTCTGCTTCTCAGTGCATTACAGTGGTGGCACTTATAGACCCGGCGTGCACGAGTCGCTTCTTCATGTTGGTCATCGGTGAGAGTTTACAGGGCCTGCACCTCCTGGTTGTGACAAATGGAGTGAAAGTGGATTTAGTTCTCCTCTTTTTTTTCCGCCGTGTTTGACTCTGCCGGAGCGAACCGTGACCGCGGTAAATCATCTGGGAGGGCGGCAGAGCCGGGTTCCATAAATCTCTCCCTGCCCCCGATTCGCCGGACGTAGAAACTGGCGATCTATCGACAACCATGCAAACGTGTATATCTCGTCTTCTTCCTCCAGTGGGGAACCACGGCTTCGACAACACCCTGCGCAGCATGCAGCCCGTGTTTGTGGCCCGCGGGCCGGCCTTCCGCCAGAATTACCTCAAGGACTCCATGCGCGCCGTTGACCTCTACCCTCTCATGTGCCACATCCTGTCCGTCCCCGCCCTGCCCAACAACGGCTCCCTCCGGAACGTGCAGGACCTGCTGTCCCAGGAGCCGGCCCGGACCACGCCCAGCGCGCCTCCCGGGGCCGGCGTGCACTCCTACGCCCCCGTGGTGGGCTCCTTCCTCGGCGTGGTGATGGTGCTGGGCTTCCTGGTGGTCTACATAAAACAAGTGACCCTCAAACAGCTGCCCTCGCTAAAGCACAGGAGCAGGGAGATGTCGCAGCCGCTGCTGCAGGAGGACTTGCACCTGTAGCCGGAGAAGAAGAAGAAGAAGAAGAGGAGGTATTGCTCCCCCAAGGTAGTGCGCTCCGTTCAGAAGAACCCTCCTCCCCCACACACCCCTCACGCCATTTAATCTCATTGTGCTGCTCTATTTATCAGTTGGAGTTAAAGGGAATTCAATTCACTCACGTAAAGATGTGCATCTGGCGTTTTTTGAGTGTGAGGGAGATGTTCGGGCTCCTGGTTCAGGCTTAATCGCGATAATAAACCTCTACTTGGGCTTTAGTGGCTTTGCTTTAGTTGTGGATTTTTACCCATCTCATCTCATCCTCGTCGTGTAATAACAGGATTTTCTCCTGTGATTCTAGGAAGTACGAACCTTTGTTGGCCCAAATCTGAGACTCACAGGTGTCAGTATGCTCGAAACAAACCTGTCTGAATGTTTTTGCAAAATAAATAGATGTTAGAGAGGGAATTATTTATTTTTTTTAATTACATCTCTAAGCATCTTATAAGTCATCATTACAACTGACTGGATTTGTTTTAACCCATAAAAATAAAATCTTATTTCCTGATGACCTACTCCAAAAAATGACTCCAGGACAAGTAAATGTGTCTAATAGTCCAGCGGATTGTGGCCCAGCTGCTGTGGCCCAACATCCGTCAATACGACTCATCAATGATCAGCAATTCCTATCGGCAGCAACAAATCCATCGGAAATTTCCTAAAAGTTGCGTTTGCTCACTTTGGTTGTTTGTCCGTTTTTTTGAGTTTTCTGATCCGTCACCTCGTTCTGCTGAAAGGGATCCAAGCTGAAGAGCCACAGAGAAGCTTGGGAAGGATAGTTACACACACCGTGAGACTAGTGTTCCTCCATGGCATCATTGTTCTGCGCTTGGGAAGAATGTTCCGATCATTTCGGGCTGAAGTTGTATGTTTCTGAAGGTAAAAAGTAAAAAACCAAGGCGGATGCAGATGTAAATGGCGCCTTTCAAACCGACGTCAAAGTGCCTAACCGAGGCGATCCATCAATACAAACCGTTTGGAGCATACTGACACCCGCCACCACCCGTCCTGCTTGTGCTCTGACTTCTATAAATGCTGTGGTGTATCAGGAAAGTGATCGATATTAGTTTAGTGCCGGGATCACGGTTTGTTATTTTTGAATGTTACCTGGAAGTAGATGTTCCTCTAAAGACTGTGTGGGTAATCCCGTCGGCCGACGACCTCACGACCTTTGCTCTTTAGTAGTGAGTTACCATTTGCCTTTTAACTTAACGGAGAACGTGTCTCCGAGGTGTGCAATCGTTAGTGCGTCAAGTCTGTTGTGTGTTTTTTTGTGTAGGGTTTGTGTTTGGAGTTCAGCTCTCATACGTCGTAACCATTTGTTGGTGAACTGTAAAGTGCAATTGCTGTCGGTCAGTTTTTCGTCGTAGGGATTTTAAGGGTTTTGTTTCGACTGGGCGGAGAACTGTTGCCCCTGATTTGCACTATGGGATAGAGATGAAACGGAACCAAGGGGCAGAAGCTGGATGCTTTTTTGCACTTCCTGTTGCTAGTGGCCATCTGAAATGATGGAGAAAAGAAATAGGTGCCTCTTGCCAAAGTTTTTCTCTTTTCAGAAACAATTGATTTTTTTTTCTTAGTTCTTTTCAATGCATTGAGTAATACATGTGCCCCCCCCCATCCTCACCGCCCCCCAAAAAATAAACATAAATGACAGACATCACTGTGATACTAAAAATGTAAATTCTAAAAATCAAAGCATTTTTATTGAAATTGTTCATTGTGTGATAATTGTCTGCTTGTTTTCCCTGGCTTGTTCAAAGAAGAATGAAATCCATCCACACGGTACTTTAGTAATTCAATTATAATTTGTTAGAAAAGAACCAATGTATTAGATCAGCTTAATCTGGTGATTATTAACTTGTTTTCAATTTACAAACAAACTCTTTGCCATGTTGATGCAATTAAAGACATGTGAAACCGAGCCACTTGTACTTTATTCTGTGTGTTTTACACACAGTGCAGACCTTTAAAGTCATATTGTGACAATAGGTCTGATGGTGAATAAAAATAGTGACTGAAAGAGAATCCTTTGTTACAAATAGTAAGGCCCTGCTCGGCATTTTCTAGAAATGTTTCAAAAAGATGATGAAATAAATTGTACAAATTCACTTGTCAATAAATAACTGAATGTGTACACTTTGTTTACCAATCATAAAAAAATAAAGCAGAAATGATTGTAAAATAATGATAATTTGAACCTTTGCTAGAGAAAACATGTACAGATGAGAGGATTTTCAAATTATTTGAGATAATCTGTTATACGTTTTGTTTAACTAAATACATTTATAAACATTTTCCTCACTCGAGCACTTTCCACCTTTAATAATTTCCTTTTAGAAATATTATTTAAAATTGTTGTACCAACAAACCGGCCGAATGTCTCGCTTCAGCTCAGCTCCTCCTTTTAAATCTCTCATGAAGTAGTCCAAGGTTCTCGAGAGGTGTTGCGTTCGAGACAACGTGTCCTTGAAGGCCTCGACCTTTGCATAAATTACCTGTTAACTCGCAGGGTCAAAGGTCACCTCCGAGCTATCGCTGGAATTTGCCCGGTGGCTCAGTCAGTCAGAGGCAGGCGCGACTGTTCCACCTCGACGGCTCTCCTCCAACACCTCCAGGGGCCTCCGCGAGGACACGCGCGTACGCAATAAGACTACTTTAAAAAAGACCAAAGACAACAAACATGGAGCACGTCTATGACGCAGCGGAGGAGGGGAGCGCGCGCGGAGCCGCCGAGGAGAACCCGGGCGCGGGGAAGGAGCCGCCGTGCGAGGAGGTGCGGGTCCAACTCCCCGCGGACGGAGCGCGCGGCTCCCCGGACTACATGGACACCAGGGACGAGGACAAGCGAAGCAGCTCGTCCTCTTCGTCCAGCGACGACGAGGAGGAGGAGAAGAAGGAGGAGGAGGAGGAGGCTCCCGGAGCTGAGGAGGTGGTGGAAGCGGCGCAGGTGGAGGAGGCGAGCGCGCGGGAGCGCCGCGGGTCCCGGCGCTCCTCGGCCTCCTCCTCCTCCTCCTCCTCGTCCCTCGGAGACCCGTGCGACGACCCGCCGCTGCGGCCGACGGCCCTGGGAGAAGCCGCCGCGGGAGACGACGGGATGATGATGTGCTACACGCACGCCGGCACCGACTCCGCGCCGCAGGAGTCCGTCGACTACAGCCTGAAGACCCTGGAGGAGGTCCGGCCGGATGAGAGCAGCGCGGCGCCGCCCGACCAGCCGGACATCTCGCTCTTCGTCAAGGTGAGACTTGTTGGTGCTGCGGGGGCGACGCGGGTCAGGCGGCATGTTGACATTAGTTCTGCATTCAAAAGATCTACTCAAAGTACCAGAAGTAGAGATACTAAGAGATCTGCTCAAAGTACCAGAAGTAGAAAGATCTACTCAAACCAGATACTCACTGGATCATCACTGAGTGCAGCCTGCAGAAGGTGGTTTAATTACTTTATAGACTGATCTGGGGATCACCAAGTATTATACTGACCTATAAAAACTTAATCATAATTGATTTGTTAATTTATTACTGTTGACACTATTAAATGTATTTATTTTTTATTATCATCAAACAATATTTCCCTCGAAGTTGAAGTATAAAGTTTCAGAAAACTGAAATACTAAATTAAGTTTCATTTGAAAACCAAACAAACTGGCACATTCTGCATTTTTGGGACAGAACATTGAAATGTGTGTATGTTGCATGTCACCAAATCATCATCATCAAATGAAAATATAAATAGTTTGCACGTATTTATAACTATTGTATTAACTAGAACCTCGAGGCCGATGGTCCCTTAATCTACATCCTCTCTGCCGGCCATCAGGGGGCGACTCCTTTGGGTGCAAAATAAATCACATTTTATAGACTGAGAACATCATTCTACATCTGACTTTAATTTATTACCTAAGTAAACACAAGTTCATGGTTTCAATCTGTAGTTTAAGAGTTGATTCACTGAATTCTGGTCCCATTCATTGTGAAAAAGGCCACATGTAGGGTGTATTGGCAACGGGTGAAATGACCATTTAATAGAAGTGTGAATATATACATACACATATATGTGTGCATATTACAAAATATGGTTTCAGTAGGTAAAATGTCAGGAACATTGATCTCTTGAACCAGTGACTTTAATGTGGAGGCCGCCCGATGTAATAATTAACTAATTTACTGTACGGCCATAGAAACCGGGGCTGAACTCCATGCCTGAGCAAATCCCACTGTGTGTTTTTGCTGCTTTCGCGATAGGGCCGGTCTGTGCGGGTGGGGGCCGCTATCAGCGCAGCCAGGGGTCACTTTGCTGATTTGGACAACAGAGATTGAGAGTCATGTGGGTCGGGCTCCGGGAGCTCAGCGAGAGGCCTCGTCACGTCCATGTGCGTTGTCCGGGTGTGTCCAATCCACGCAGATGAGAACAACATTTGATAATCGCGGATACCACCCCACCCTCCGTCTTATCCAAATCGTGGGCGGATTTCCCAACGGTCTCCAGCGATCGCCATAAACCAGACCCATAAAAGTGGGGCGGGAGCGAGGATGCCGAAACCCGACGTGGCTCCTCTGCTGCTGTCTGAGATAACGAAGGTGCTGCAGACTATCGCCGCCGCCCCGCGCGAGCGTCTTTTAATCCCCGTGTTAGTACGATAACAACTCCGTTTAAGATAACAGACAAATGTAGAGGATGTTGAAAATGTGCATGCGCGTACAATCACATCAGCTCCATGTGGCTGACTTTCACCCCCCTCTCGCAATCAAGACATAGCCAAGTGGAGAGTTCAAACCCCCCCCTCTGCCTTTTCTCTGGAGGAACACACACAGTCGGTTACTGTTTGATGTTCAGGTGAATGATTGGCCCAACGAGTCGGGGACCTTTTGTCTCGAGAGGACAACAAAGGTTTCTCGTAAGCCTTTGATGGTCGATCAAGGATTTTCGGGAAACTCGCTTGAGATAAGATTTGACATCACTGTCCGTCTATCTGCTGGGTAAATGTACAGCTAGGACTTGCAACCAGTTAGCTTAGCATAAAGGACTGGAACCGGGGAAGCTGTTGATCATCACTGTCCAAGTTAACATAACCTCCCCAAAGCGCCTCAAAGCTCAATAATTAACTGATAGTCTTGTATTTGAGGGTGAGAGATCTTCTCATCGAACCACCAGCAAGAAAACATGTAAATATGTGAGTTGAATATGTCGAATGGTTCCTTTATCGCTTACATGGTGTCATATAGGAATAAGCTTGCCCATAATTTAAAATTCCAGATGTTTCATCATCAGCTGCTTGCTTTAGCATTTCTAAAACACCAACTAAAGTCAGCGTCTTGTCAGGGCTGTTTTCATCATGCTGGTGCTGTGATTAAGACCCGTGCAGATGTAGTCCGCCCTCCACCCGCCTCCTCATACACACTGAACTCCTCCTGGAGGTCTGTGCTGCACGTTGGCCCGTCGGCCAGGAGAGGGCGCTGCGCCATAAATAGAATCTATATCTGGCCCCTTCCATTTATTACCTTCGTGTGTAAACCAGCAAATATTCTTGCGTTAAAACCAAAGTGGGTGATTCCCAGAGGAATCCTTCAGGTGATCAACGGTAACCTCAATCTTTGTACTTTATATTTGTGGATTTATTTGTGTCTTTATAGTCAACCGGATCAGACCCTATAAAAAGGACAAAAGTGAGGCGATGGTTTTAAGAGAGATGAGACGGACGGGAGGGAGGTGATTGTAGAGTGAGTGTGTGTGTGTGTGTGTGTGTGTGCGTGTGTTAGAGGGGAGTTTGGTTGCAGCGGTGGATGATGGGGCTCCGCCCCCCCCCGGTTATAGACGGACACCTGTTGTCCGTTTTGTGTCAGTGAGAGCTGGCTGTGCTCTCCATCTGTGTCCAAATCAGAGCGCGGGGCTCCACCTGCCACCTGGACGGGACGCACACGAGGCGGAGGGCCTTCCTGGGACCAGAAGGTGGAGGACATCATCAAATCAGGGACTAGAAAACAAACACGGCTCCTCAAGGGGCCGCCGGCGGCGGAGATAAACTCGGTGAAGATATCTCAGGGTTTTTTTTCATCTGTTTTTTTTGAGAATGTAGCCCTTCCAAGGACAAAGCAAAGGACTTCAGGTAAAATAAAGATAAAAAGAATCAAGGTGACCAGGCATCATGACCACAAACAGCCAAGACAGAGACCCTGATATCGAGCTTTTTGTCAAGGTAAGACAAAGACCGTGGCTCCGGTATTTTCCTAAAAATGAAGTTTTAACTGAATGTGGGGGCAATAAATGAGCAGCGCTGCGTGTTGTGGAAAGCTGGTGTAACTCAATAGTGGAGGTCGAGTTACGGCGGCACCGGCACGTTCTGTTGTCCCCGGATCGCAGTGACAGTGATACCGAAGCGGCTCGCTGGCGGAGGGCCGTTACTCCAAAACACACATCAAAGGAACGAAGGGGCTTCACTGCACGCGCACTTTTCTAAATTCAAATGCAGCTGACGAGACGCACCTGAGGCTCGGGGGTAAATGTTAGAGGGAAAACACCTGAAGCAGGTGAGGCGGAGGGAAGCAGGTGGAGGAGCTCTTTGCCGGTGCAGAGGCCGCTCTCCGTCTCCAGGGAGACCCGTCGGCCCGGTGACGGGAAGTCAACCGGCGCGTTCATTTTCATGATGCAACGTTGTTTCAGTTCAGCAAACACGTATCGCCGGGACCTTTGACCTGCATAAAATATAAACAACGTTCAGACACACGTCGTCACACAATTTATTATGTTACCCAATGGACGCAGATTGGTCGCATCGCGGGATCCTCTTTTTAGTCTAATAAGTATGACACCGGGTTACTTTACAATGTTCCCTCCCAGTGCTCATCTATTATTTCCACCCTGTGTGCGCACCGGATCACGTGGCCTCCAGCGGACCCCTCAGCGGACCCCTCAGCGGCTGCATACACCTGCCCCCGTGCCCTCGTGCCCTCGGGCCCGGTTGTGTGTGGCAGCCTTTGTTCCCCCCCCCCCCGTGTTCTAGATGTTGATTGGCCTTTTATCAGCGGCCGTGTATTGTGTTACTGTGTGAGCCCGGCCGCGACAATGCAGACGCGCTGCGGCTGCACGGCGGCGCCGGGCGTCGGCGGCTGGCGTGCAGACAGTTGGCTCAGCTACTTTTCGGCTGAGCGCTCGGCGTGTTCTGGCGTTTGCGAGGTCGTTGTATCTCTTATCACGGGTGCTGCTTCCGATTCAATCGTGGAAGGACATTTGTGTCACCAGCCACCTCAAATATATGAAGTACGGCTCTGCAGGTGCATAAACTCCTCTACTTGTTTATTGAATAGTTTAGTTTCCAAATGCCGGATGTTCTAAACGAAGGCTCTGTTGACCTTGGGGTCATTGCACCTACTTTGCTCCGCGTTGTGGGCGTCACTGCGGACCTACTGGGCCGACCCCTGCAGGCCGTGAACCAGGTGAAGGAATCCCTGTATGTATAATTCAGGCCGGCGATGTGTGTCGGGTGTCAGTGCTGATGCTCTGCTGCGTTTCCACGCAAGCCCTACGGAGAGGAAGCCGTGCCGAGACAGACGTCCAACATCAGGACTTTGAGGGATTGAGAGCAAGTCAGGAACTCAGACCAAAGCAGGGTGGGACAGAGTAAAGACCGAGACCTTCATGTGATCCTGGGACGGATCTGGGGTACTACGACCACGCTGCACACCAGCACACACCATTATAGTTCATCGTACTGAGGGTCCTTTTGCTTTTACTCGTGTTTACACGCGTTTTTTTTTTTGACGAACGACCTCATTGGTCAAATAAGGGTCAAAAGATAAGAGTCCGCTAACGTCAATATGTATGTGATTGTGAGCAAGGTTGTCAACCTGGGAACCAGCGACTGACCACATCCATGCGTCAGAAGTGTGCCGACTCCCCCCCTGAAGCTCCGCCCCCCCCCCACCGCGTCTCACCTCCTCACCTCTTTTTCTCCCCATCTTCTCGTTGGCAGGCCGGCAACGACGGGGAAAGCATCGGCAACTGTCCCTTCTCCCAGCGCCTCTTCATGATCCTCTGGCTCAAAGGAGTCGTGTTCAACGTCACCACCGTCGACCTCAAAAGGTCAGCGGGGTCAGGCGGCGTCACAAAACACACCCACATCCAGCCCCGTCTGTCTGTGTGTGTGTGTGTGTGACTCTCTCTCTCCCCCCGCAGGAAGCCGGCAGATCTGCACAACCTGGCTCCGGGGACGCACCCCCCTTTCCTCACCTTCAACGGCGAAGTGAAGACCGACATCAACAAGATCGAGGAGTTCCTGGAGGAAACGCTCAGTCCCCCAAAGTAATTCACCCGGAAGGCTTTACGGCCGACTGCACGGCGCGCCGATTCATTTCCCCCCCCCCCCCCCCCCTCGGCGGGGGGGTCCCCGCGCGAAGGACAGGAAAAGCTTCGCGCCCAATAAAAGCCCATTCGCGGCTGTGGCGCCAAACTGTGACTGCGCTGCTTTAGTGTGCGGCAGCCTGTGTGTCATTTTCGAAATAGCACCAGGGTTTATTATTCCTCTTTATTATATATAGTCGTTCCCATGAAGCAGCTTCAGAGAAAAACATCAGATCAACTTAATGCTTCTTTTAGTGCTTTCCTGCGTCTATAAATGGAGCTTAGTGTGAGAGCGCTTTAAGGGGCGCGAGTGCAACGCTCCGGTCCAGGTGTTAAATCTATCCAGATGCTTTTCGTTCTGCCTGCGCCTCTGACTGCCCCCCCCCCCCACCCTCCCCTTCCCTCTTATGCTCAGGTATCCCAAACTAGCCGCCAAGCAGAGAGAGTCCAACACAGCGGGATAGGACTATTTGGCCAAGTTCTCGGCCTACATCAAGAACACCAGACCGGAGGCCAACGCCGGTGGGCCGCTCGCTTTGTTCCTCCCAGCTCGTAGTCACAGAGGCAGACGCGACGGCTGCTGTAAAATCCCCCCACTAGGTCGTAGCAGAGCTCTAACCCACGCGTGTGCTCAGTCCTAGAGAAAGGTCTCACCAAGGCGCTGAAGAAGCTGGACGACTACCTGAACAGCCCGCTGCCGGACGAGATCGATGCCGACAGCCTGGAGGAGGAGAAGGGATCCGAGCGAAGCTTCCTCGACGGCAGCGAGCTCACGCTGGCAGACTGCAACCTGCTGCCCAAACTGCACATAGTCAAGGTGAAGAGGGGGGGGGGGGGGGTCTTCATCAAAAGGTCCCGTTAAGGGGGGAAACATGGAAGGGGACAGAAACGGCTCATTTTATGATTCGTGTTTGTATTTCTGCCAATGGATCCCCCCCAAAATAAGCTGTTTCTTGATAATCTCTGAGAAACAGTATTTGAATTCATCTTTAAGGGAGGGGTTCAATATGGCATCCCTAATATCCAATAGTGTGTTAATGTTTGATGGGTTGTCGTGGAAACGGGTAAATAAGCCCAGTCGTAGATGGAGGTTTGTCTTTGCTCCGCCAGGTGGTGGCCAAGAAGTACCGCAACTACGACATCCCCTCCGACATGTCGGGGGTGTGGCGGTACCTGAAGAACGCCTACACGCGCGACGAGTTCACCAACACCTGCGCCGCCGACGGCGAGATCGAGACGGCCTACATGGACGTGGCGCGGAGGTTGGCCAAGTGACCTCCGGGAGACGACCCCGAGCTGAAGCGCCGCACAAACAGACAAACGGTTAAACGGACTCATTTTAACGCAACTCACCGGGTTTTCAGGCCGCGTTCTCTCCGACACGTCGGCCGGTTATTTATTTCCTCTCGACGCGAAGCTTCGCTTTCGAACGTTTCTGCGAGCCGCGTCTGTCGGGGTCCTTCTCTTTATTTGCTCCAAAGTCCACGGAGTGACTCATCGCTTGTTGGGACGCGCGCACACCTCCATCCATCGATGATTGATGATTGCAGCCCTTTGTTCTTTTGCTGAATGTGCATGTTTGGATGCGTAGATTAGATTTTTTTTGACGTCACTGTTTTGTTTCCTTGAGCGCATTTTGAAATTCATTGATTTGAACACAAGGTTGATTTAGGTTGAGATTAAATGCTAGATGACATTGATGGCTTAGAACAAAGCTTGTTTCTCATTTGTTTGCATGCATGAATCTGTTTTTAAAAATCTAAGAGTTAAGAGCTTGTTTTTAAGATGAAAAAGTCCCTCAACTCATGTGCCTTTATTTGGAATAATCAACATCTATGCCAATGTCCCCGATGAGAGAGTATTTATTTAGATTAGAAAAGCGTCTTCCAGGTCATCGATGGTCGCCCCTCCGCTCCGAGGAGCCCATCAAAGTTCAGAAAGTCTCATTGTCCACACGGCGGCGGGTGGACAATGTGTCTCGGGGCTTATCGTCTTTGGCCCGGCGTCGGGCTGCGACTACGGCGAGACTTCCTTTTAAAACCCCGTGTGGTTTTGGACAAAGCACACAGAGTGAAATCGGAGCTCACTGCGAAGCTCCACAAATAAAATAATATTTTCACAAAATCCGCTTCTGCCTTTTCTTCTCTGCGTTGCCGGCCAGGTGATCAATCAGCGCTGACGCCTGGCGAAGGGGGCGGGCGGCGCCGTTGGGGTGATGGTCGAAGGTGCCGTCCTGAAAAGGGTTAAGTGGCCCTGACTGCGTTGATCAAATCCAGCGGTGCAGCTCTGGTTCTCCGTCCAGAGAGAGAGAGGGGAGGAGGGGAGGAGGGGAGGAGGGGGAGGGCGAGAGAGTGATGACCGTTGACAGGCTTAAATAGAGGCTTCCATGCCAGGGATCAAACGCCATCCCTCTTCTCCACTCTCTCATTAAGACGGAAAACCCGAACGCCGCCATCCGATCCGTCTCCATTTTCCCCTCAAAGGAGTCTGACTTGAAAGATCCGCGCCTGTCGGATTTACAATGGTGGGCCGCGCGGTGTTTACCGAGACGCGGCCCTGCCAGAAACAACAGCCGAAGAAAAAATAAATGGAGCCTGCCCGTGTTTCCACAGGAGTCAGGAAATATGGAGCGCGCCTTGTGCCTCGCCGTTTGGTAATTAGTGCCTAAACATCGCTGTCCTTGGGTCCCATCGCTCACGTCCAGCGTTCCCGCGAGCCGGATAATATACAGCGGGGCATTAACGTCAAACACGTCTGGCCCGGCACGCCACATTAATCTGCTGTTACGCTCCCGGTGGACCCACCAGTCGCCTTGGCCTTGGCCCCCGGCCCCCAGCGCTCCATTCGGGGCTGACGTGGGGGGCAGGGGGGGGGGGGGGGGGGGACTCGAACACACGGCGCGCTTTTACTGCCAGGTTTAGGAAACCTTTTCAGCTCAGGCATAAATTGTCTAAATTGAGCCTCGCTTTTGAGCGGCCCGAGGTGATTAAAACAAACTGGTGTGCGTTTGGCGGCGCGAGGACCCACCGGCAGCGGGCCTGTGATCCAATTAAGGGCCCCCGAACCGTGGTCAGAGAAACGCGTGGCGCTGCCTCAGGCTGCGTGCGTATTGCACCCGGGAGACGGACACCCGTGTGCTTCGGCCCCAGGTGAACTCTGCCGTTACCCTCTAACATGTCGTCTCACACGCATCCTGCAGCCTGCGTGATCGGATCCCTCCGAGAGTCTTCCCATCATGTGGATGAATTAATGTTTACGTGCAGAAACTAAGACGGTGGCCTGGAAATGACTCACGCGCTTCCTCAGTTGATACATTTTCTTTTCTACTTCATCAGCTGTAGTTTTTCCATTTCCATAAACTTTCCTATTTTTCTTGCGTCGTTTGAAACCAGAATGGAACTTTCTGGCTACCTGAAGGTTACGTCAATAAATCAAGCGGCGCGGACGACCGAAGCAGAGATCCGACTCCGCTTTAAACACGCCGCCCGCTCGCCGCCTGCCGGCGTCGGCTCACGACCGACGCGCGACATCGAGGGGAAGGTGGCGGCTGACGTCCCGCAGGCCCGACGGGGAAGTGTCCAATAAGAGGAGCCACGTCATAACAGGAGATCCAGTTTGGGAGCAGACGTGGCTCAGGAAGTCCTCATGCCTTCCACCCGCAGACAGACAGCATCCCCCCCCTCACACACACACTCACACACACTCGGAGGTTTGAGTGACTTGCGGCGAGGCGTGACGGGGTCATTGATCCGCTCGGCGCACGCCTGCGGTCGGGCCCGTAAGACTTGACGAGCTCAGCAGAGCGAGTTCCTGGCGGCGCTCGGAGGCCTGAAGTCAGGTGATCGAGACACTTCTCAGCCCCCAAATGGAGGCAGAAGACGAGAAGAAACACATCTGAGCGACTTCTTCGGGGAGGAGTAACCACGGCGGCAGACGGCGGAGGCCCGGGGGGGAGGGAGGGGGGGGTTTACGGGGTTGGATTTACTGGTTAGGGGTTTGGGTTCCAGTTGCTGGACCACATGAAGTAAGCCGTGGTCACCGGAGGAGGATGTGGACCCGTGCTAATTATGTGAGATGATGATGTCATGGATCGATAACTTCCCCCCCCCCCCCCTGCGCTCCAGCGTGGACGACCGCACCGCCGCGACCACACTCGCATCCACATGTCGGACATGTCTGGGTCGTTGGCGGCCCTCGCACATCCGCGCCGGCGGTCGGGCGCTCGCTTCATCGCTCGTGGCTGTAAATCATCGCTTTCGACTGCAGGAAACACGCGGCGTTTTTATTTTTCCAGCCGTAAACCGTGAAACCTGCCCCGAACACGAGTTATGATCCTTGGAGAGCGGAGTGGGGGGGGCGTTTAAAGCAGAAGCAGACGCAACGGCGAGCATCCCTCGACCCCCCCCACCCCACCCCCCCATCCCAAGATGGCTGCGGTTGTGTGGCCGTTTCGTTTACCGCGACGTCATCACTGCTCTGAATCACCGGCCCAATTAGTCCTGAATTAACGCGCTGCTGATACGAGGGGCTCACAGCGCTGCTCCTTCCTGCGGCTCCGGAGGCCCCTGCTTGACATTTCGTAACTGCGTATCGTCTGGCCGGAGTTTGGAAAACGGCTGTTTTGGGCGGATGCCGTGGCGCCGAGCGGAGGTTCGTCCACTCTCGTGTTCGCTGCACTCGGTCTGCCGCTTTTCTCGACGTCGGAGACGGTTTGTGGTTTGAAGCGGCGACACGAAGCGGAGGCCTCGGACAAAGAGGCCCTTTGTTTGTGTGTTTGGTCGCTGTCCATGGTCCTGACGCTGGTGGTTTCACTGTAATTCTCTTTACGTGTCGGATTGTATGATCCGAACTGGCTGAGCTCAATAAACGTCGTCTCTTTGTGTCTCAGTGCATCAAATCAGATGTTTCCAAATGGATCCTGGTGCCGCCCGCAGAACGAGCTTTTCTTTCACAACGGGGTCAGAGGACGAGTCGTCGCTTTATTCCCGTCGCTCGGTGAGGGAGGGGCTCTTTTCATGTCGGCCCTTCGGTGATGGATGCAGGCTGTTGGGCCTCCAGTCGGTAACAGCGGCACTCACCAGCTCACACGGCGTGGGTGGGCCCCTGGGCCCCTCCCTTGGTCCCTAAGGTTAAATAACAAAATACAAGGAAACCACTAGAGAGCGCCAAAGTACACAGTTATTGTTGACTCGGTTTCAAGTGATCTGGAGCTCGAGGGGGGAGGGGGGGGGCGCAATTACAATCACATCAAATCAGGATCAATTCTTTCACGGCGGGCATGCTTTGAGACGTTAGTGTGGCCCCGTTGCCGTCGGTTACGATCAGATGACATCAGGTTAAGAAGGTCAAGGGAGGTCAACACAACACGAGTCAGCGGGTCGAGACCCCCTCCTGGAGGGTTCCTCGCCCTGAGTGGGATGATAAATCGAGATTCCTGCAAACTAGTTACACACACACTCACACACTACGGGACCCTGGAGGATCACTTCCCGCCTCAGCTGCTGCTCTGACACATCTGTTAGAGGTCAAGTCATCAGTTTGTATATGAGCCGTCAGCTGTGTGTGTGTGTGTGTGTGTTCTCCCTTCCATCACAACCTGGTGTCAGAAATCAGGTGCAGCATCATCAACACAAGGGTCCAAAGGGGTCTGCCTGCGTGCAGGACGGGATACGTGACGCTGATGTCTCTGCGTGTCTGCGTCCTGTTGCTCGTCCTGAGCTCATTGTTATAATTACCAGACACGGCTGAGAATGCTGCGAATGTGAACACGACACCAGCGGGAGCTTTTTTCCACGCAAACTATATTCAGGGAAATGCACCAGAATGTTCTGAACCTTAAAAAAACACGTCTCTGTTTCAGCGCGTGTGTGTGTGTGTGTGTGTGTGTGTGTGTGTGTGTGTGTGTGTGCGTGCGCACACTTAGATTGGCTCTATTATGTCTCGGAATAATGTAAAACAGCTTCCCCGGGTCTCCGTGTCTCTGTTCCTGTCTCCATCGCTCTGTTTCCCAGAGTACCTTTGAAATGAAGCCATGGCAGCGGCGGTGGCAGAAGGAGCCTGGCTGAGCGCGTTGCCCCCCCCCACCGGCCCCCCCACCGCCCCGCCCCCGTCCAAAGACAACGTTGGTGCAGACCACAGAGGGGGACATATTGTGCTCATCTTCAGGTTCATGCTTTCTGTTTAAGCAGGAATACACAATAAATGCATCATTGATCTGCACTAAGAGGTCGGAATGAAAGGTCATCATCCAATAACAACAGCTGGGTTTAAAAACACGCTTCTCTGTCGTTATTAAGGTAAAAATCTGTCTTTACATGAGAGTTGTTTGTTTATATAAATAATAAAAGGCACAAACACTGAAGGAGGATTTCTAAACTGCTGTTTGACCAGAAGTGAGCAGAGAAGCGTCATAGAACCTGCGACCGTGTTCTGGGGCTTTTCTTTATACGCTCAAAAGTTCTCTTTTGAGATGTGGCTCTAAAATAATCTTATAATAAAAGCTTGTATAACAACGGATTGTGTGCACAGACATATTTAACAGCTTACTGCAGTTTAAATGATCTCTTTTTCAAATAAAACAAAGCTCTTCCGTGGAAGAGGGGGGGCTTTGGATGGAGCTCCAGCAGATGAGGAAATGTAAATACTTGTCTGTTATTTCAGTGGAATGAGGAGAACGAGAAGAAGAATTAAGTTACAAAATTCCTATTTTATTCTTAAAATAAACAAAATGTACAATCACAATGCCAATTTCACTCACTGTTGTCAGGTCTGTTTGTCCCTTTAAAAAAAAAAAAAAAAAACCTCACTTGATCTTTGTGAAACGTACCAGCAACATCTAACGGACCTCCATTAGTTCCTGACAGTTAATGAGAGAAGAAGCACAACAAAAGACACAACAAGTCATCTTTACATGAGAGCAGAGTAAGCTATGGTTCCTGGATATCATACATGATCATTAAATAATACGCAACATTTAACCCGAAAGGAAAGAAAAAAAGGGGATGAACTTTGTTTACTGAGAGGAAAAGAAAAAACACAAACAAAAGCAGATGAGGACGAGCGGGATGTCAGTGCTGCGTTGATGTGTAAACACGTCTCAAAGACCGTTTCCTGTTCATAGCTTGGAAAGAAAGAAAAGGATTACATAAATTCCAACAGATGTGCACAGACACACTGGATGCCTGCGCAGTGGGGAGAAAAGCTTCAGCATCGCGGAAATCGGAACGTTTTTTTTAAAATTTGCTTTCTCGTGTTACGCCGTAACTGCAGAAAAGGAGAAACGTGGTGCGATATGTTCGATTCCATTAAGTGAGTTCAGAACATCCTCTGCAGAGACGCGCCGCGTGCGGAGCTTCTTGGACGGGGACTCGTTTTTCTCAGCTTCTCAAATTGGGTTCTTGTGTTACACCTTCATGCACTGAACGTCGTACCGTACGAACGCGAGGGGAAAACGCTCTTAAACAAACAGCAAACTGCCTCGTGAGATCACATTCAAATCCCACGTGCAAACGGCTCGTTTTGGCCAAATGTTATCCGAGTGTGTGTGTGTGTGTGAGACTCGATGGCGTTACATCGGCACCGAGGACCAGAAACCACGAGCCCTGCTGGCAGCCGGCCGCACGTGCTGCTAGAAATAAAACAAGGAATAAGTGCTTTGCGAAACAAACATACACAAGTCTTTTGGTCACCAGTTTGCTGCCAGCAGCTGCATCCAATCACCTTCCTTCAACTTTAGCAAAAAAAACAACAACAACAACAACAAAAAAGACCTCCTTTCACACTGGTGTCTTTTAGACGAGGAGGTTACGGAAGGAGAAGCAGGAGCAGAAGAATAAGGTCAAATAAATAATTGTCAGAAGGAATGTCACAGTCTTTGGTCTTCGGCTGCGATCGTTTCGTTTGCGGCCTCAGAGACTGAAGGAGGGAAGGAAAGGAGCAAAGAAAGTACCCGTGTGTGTCACACGCCAAGACAAACTGTTCCCCCGATGACCACGAGCCATTCAGCCGGATTGGATATGAAAAAAAAAAAAAAAACTCCCAAACATGCAGATTTACCAAAATCTGTGCCGTTTGAGATGATTCCGGTCCTGAGGAGTTAGTGTACCGCGGAGCGAGTGAAGCGTGACCTCCGACCTGCACCCGCGGCGCCATCGTCGTTGGCCGACGTATCAGTTCTTGTACAAATGTACCGTTTCTTATTTAAAATACATTTGTTTCTGTGTGCATATCAGACTAGATCGACCAAAGATATCAGTTCAGTATTCTGCCGAGAGGCACGATACCAGTTATTGCTCAATAAATACCAGTTCAGGTTTGATTCCGATCAGAACGGGGGGGGGGGGGGGGGCGACTGGGAGAAACACGTTGCAATACTCTTTGGAAATCACATTTCATATTCGAAACGATTTTTGATCTTTGGGTACTACAAAAAAAAAAAACCCTCTCACTCTCTTAAATTACCAATCAAAAAGAAAGAAATATAAATTTTTAACTTAGTCGTATAGATGCATTAAAAATATTCAGATTACACTTCTTTGACTCAAGTTTCAAATACAATACATAATTTATGGCTTTATAAGTTAAAACTAAGAAAACGCTTCAATCTACATCAACGTTTCACCCACAATATACAAGTTAAATTAATTGGTTTAAAGCAGATTTCCTGTTCACACCGCTGACGGTAACGTATGCGTGACCTCATCACTTGCTACTCAGTGCCTAACTTGCATCTTGATGTCGTCGAAGTACAAAAACATGCTCTGCAAAAAGCCTTATTGAAGTACAAACACAATACAAAAGAGGCAGTTTGTTTGCAGATATAGTTTGAAGCATCCCTTAGCTTGTGGGTTATAATAGAACAGAAAGGGGCCGAGTGAAGCAAAACGGTCTCTGGTTATTGCTGTCAGGACGGCTCCCTTTGTGGCGCCTCGGCCAAAACACATTCCAGGAAGGCAAGTCCACGCGAGCCGCTTTCTCTTCTCTTTTTATCTCAACCTTAATTTCCAAGTAAAAAAAAAAAAAAGCAGAGACGAGAGCTCGAAAATCCCCTTTTCAAAGGGGAAAAAAAAAAGAAAAAGCTTTTGTGCTTTCGAACCACGACGTCATCGGAGCGCCGGTCCCTTTTTTTTTTTTTCTTCTCAATACGGCCTCCAGACGGCCTCGTCCATGCGGCCCCCGGGGTTGAGCACGGTGGGGGAGTTGCTGTGGCTCCCGTCGGCGTCCACGCCTCCCTCCGACTGGCTGGGCAGGTTGGGGTTCACCAGGGAGGTGCCCGTGGAGGCGCTAGTGCAAGGCGGGATCATCCGGGAGGGCGAGCGATCCCCCCCGGGGACCATGGAGAACTGGTAGGAGCCGGACGAGGCGCCGTAGTAGAGATACGGCGTGCTGCTGGTCTGGAAGGGTCCGCTCTGGGTCTGGGTGGAGCCCGGGTAGGGGGGGGGAAGGTAGGTGTGGTAGTGGGCGCTGCCCAGCGACATGGCGGAGGTGACCGGCGGGGTGTAGGTGAAGGTGGCCGGGTAGTGCATCCGCGGGCTGGAGAAGCGGGTCTCGGCCAGGGGGGGCAGGCCGGGGAACTGGCGCTCGAACTGAGCGGGGAACGGGCTCAGATCAGAGGAACCTGCGGACGAGGGAACACGTCGATGGTCAAACGAGTCAGGAACCAAACACAAGCAGATGCCACCTGATCGGAGATGTATACCAAATATATCAAAAGATATATATACGATATGTATCAAAGATGGATACCTTATATATCAAAAGATATATACGATATAAAACAAAGATGTATAACAAAGATGTATATGATTTATAACAAAGATGTATAACAAATATGTGTAACAAAGATATATAACAAAGATCTATATGATTTCTAACAAAGATGTATAACAAAGATGTATAATAAAGATGTATATGATTTATAACAAAGATGTATAACAAATATGTGTAACAAATATATATAACAAAGATCTATATGATTTCTAACAAAGATATATAACAAAGATGTATATGATTTATAACAAAGATATATAACAAAGATGTATATGATTTATAACAAAGATGTATATGATTTATAACAAAGATGTATAACAAAGATATATAACAAAGATGTATATGATTTATAACAAAGATGTATATGATTTATAACAAAGATATATAACAAAGATGTATATGATTTATAACAAAGATATATAACAAAGATGTATATGATTTATAACAAAGATGTATATGATTTATAACAAAGATGTATAACAAAGATGTATAACAAAGATGTATATGATTTATAACAAAGATGTATAACAAAGATGTATATGATTTATAACAAAGATGTATAACAAAGATGTATATGATTTATAACAAAGATGTATATGATTTATAACAAATATATATAACAAAGATGTATATGATTTATAACAAAGATGTATAACAAAGATATATATGATTTATAACAAATATATATAACAAAGATGTGTATGATTTATAACAAAGACGTGCACAGACTCATCCCTGTTAAAAGTCCTGGGAAAGCATGTGGCTACAAATACTGTAGAACTCGTCACGAGTTCTGATAAACTTAACAAACACTTCATCCTTAATATGTTTACTCCCTCTGCATATTTATGTTGCTTTGTGTGTGTTGGCGCATGTGTATCTGTATAACTGTTTATGCATGCAAATGCATGTGTGTGTGTGAGAGTGTGTGTGTGTGAGTGTGTGTGTGTGTGTGATGTGAGTGAATACTGTATGCACATAAAAGCAGTTGGGATGAATCAGGAGCTGCACATGTGGAAACACTTTGAGCAGAAACAGTTTCCATGAGATCCATAATGAGGCGGGCTGAGCTCTGATGTGGCTCCTCTCCTCCCATCGGCTCCAGCGTGTGCGTGTGTGTGTGTGTGTGTGCGTTGTGTGTGCACACATGAGCTGCTCCATCTCACCCCTCGTTCCTCTCTTTGCTTCATCCCTTAAAAAATACCCAGAAACCACTAACTGGCTGCGGCGAGCTGTTGCGCGGGCGCAGGGTTTAAGGAGAATAGGAGCCCCCCCTCCCTCCCCTCCCCTCGCGCTCCTCCCCTCCTGTCTCCTCTCAGTGGTTTAGTCCAGCCATGGCGCTCTTATCATAAATCACCAGGCGTCTTCCGTGTCACCATGTCTGCAGCGAGAGGACGAGGGGGGGCGAGGGGGGGGTTGTTTATGTGCAACGGTTTTGTTGCTAGCGTCAGATAGCATGTGCTGCCAATTAGGGCCTTTAAAACTTCCTCTTTCCACGAGATGCGTTGGATTGTGGGAGGGGGCGGGGGGGGGGGGGGGGGGGGGGGGTTTGCTCTCTGCATTTGGACGTGTTCTGGTGCCGGTGCAACGTGTGATGACGAGCCAGATCGAAACTTTTATTACTTTAAATGAAACCAGAGTGTCTGGATGTCTAAATGTTTGGAGGGTTTATTTTTAACCTCCACCTCTGAATGCGACAGCTTCTTAGCAAACTGTGGCTCCACGCTGGCCTTGTGTGGGGGGGTGAGGTGTGTGCGAGGGGGGGGAGGGGGGCGGTACTCTCTCTGCATGGATACAGTTACAGAGCGGCCCGGCGAGGTGTCAACATGATCTCCTGAGATCTGAGAGCCGCAGTCACATCACTTAGGCGGCATTAAGCGGCGCTGGAGGTGTGCGAGCGGCGTGCGGCGAGGGGCCGTGGTGTTTTTTTTTTTTCACGTGCACACGGTCACGTGCACCTGCACACTTGAGAAGCCGGCCCGACGCTCGCGAGATGAAAGCCGAATGGGGAGACCGAACTAATCAGAGCTGACGAGGCAGCTGGATGGATTTTAAACCCTCGCGAATGCAGAGTCACGCGGGGGGCGTCGCCACACACACACACACACACACACACACACACACACACACACACACACACACACACGTTACAACAAGAAAACAGAGGGAAACAGAGTGAGGTAGAGAGAGTCAAACAGGTGTACCGGGGGGAAACATGTGGGGGGGTTAAAGGAACACAGATGCTGCCGTTATGGCGAACAGACTGAGGCTGAGGCAATTACCCAGAATGCTTTGAGAGAGTAGCGTATTGCCATAAAGACACTTTATTCGTCAGTCACGAGCCTGTTATTATCCCCGGGCCTGTTATTACCCATAGTCCTCTGGGATCAAAGGCTTTGAGCGGGGAGAAAAAAAACCCGGAAATAATCCCCCCCCCCCTCGTCCCCCCAACCGCTGTCATCTAACAGCGCTCCATGAACCAGTGACCATCGTCACCATCGTGACCAGTGAGGCTCAGCGTTTAAGCCTCAGGTTTAGTGGTGCACGTTTTCTTCCTCTAGACCCTGTTTGTGTGTTTGTGTGTTTGTGTGTTTGTGTGTTTGTGTTTGTGTGTGCGCGGCGGTTTCTACCTGGCAGTCGTCTGGGCACGTCGCTGATGGCGGGCAGACCCGTGCCCCGGCTGGAGGAGAGCGGCGTGGTGGAGTGGACGGAGGGCGACGCCATGGGACTCAGGTAGGACGGGTACGTCTGCTCGTAGGACCAGGGAGGAGACGACTGCGACTGACGGGGGTCTGAGAGGAAGAGGAAAATCAGCTGGTTGAAATGCTTCTTTCTCGCTGAAGACGGTCTCGGTGTCTCCGTGTCTCCGTGTCTCCGTGTCTCCGGTTGGGAGGTTAAGTCAGTTCAGCAATGACACATCCAATGTTTACCTTCCAGGAGAAGATCTTCCTGTTTGCCTTTTAAAACAGCAGCTGAGGCACAGAGAGCCTCGCTGGCTCACAACCAGGGCGTAAACACGCCAGCGCACAACCAGCACACTGGTGTGTGTGTGTGTGTGTGTGTGTGTGTGTGTGTGGCTGCATTGCGACACCACCGGGGGGAGCATGAAAGGCGGCGACTTTCTGCATTGTGTGCCAGCTATGATTGTGCGTCCTGGCGTGTCACCTCACGCAGAGTACGAGGTGCTCGGACGCCGGGTGGAGCCGGAACTCAATGAATGCTGTATTTGGCTTTTATTTGGTTTTATATCTATTTATTTTAATAGAGGCTCGGTACTTTGCATCTCGCCGCTCCGCTTCACAAAAGGGTGACGGGACCTTTCCGTTGTATTTAGATTAACAATAAACTTGTTAAATCTCCTGAACGTTTTGCCGAAAGAAACAAGAACCACGGAATCCGGTACGACACGCGACCCCTCGTGACCTCGTGATGATCCAGCTGCATCGCTGCTCCGCTGAGTAAAATCTCAATGGTTATATAGTTATATGCTAACTACACACAAAAGGATCAAACCGGTGATCAAAGCAATGAACTGTGTTCAACAGTTGTGCATCGCTTCACATCCACCTCATTAAACAAAAACTGTAAACACTCATTTCGTCTTCAATCAATTCGTGTTGATGAACGACTTCAACCAGGCGGAAATAAACAGCTTAACCCAACAGGTGGAACCTGTACTGATATGAATTCTAGATTCTAGATCTACAATCATTTTAAATCCTCTCGCTGGAAGGTGGACGCCTGGGGTCAGAGGTCAAGGTCAGAACCAGGGGTCAGAGGGGCCTAAAAGAAAACCCCAATCTCTCCTGCTTGTGAGGCAAAGGAACGGGCTGCTCACCTGTGATCTGCGTCTGTCCCTGCGGGTTGAAGGAGGCGGCCCCCGTGTTGAGAGTTGGCCGGGGGCCCTGAGTGGGAATGGCGACCCTCACCCTCATCCTCTCCAGCTCACTAAGGCGGTCTGAGAAGAGGCCGCTTTTGGGAGGGTCCTCAAGTTTCTGACGATGTCCTGTGGACACACACATCACACCCCCAGAGTTTACTGACGGATCCTCACACTCCACCGACATCCCGCTAACCAATCAACAAGGACTCGGCCGCTAATGGACGGGAGGGGGAGGGGGTGGGGGGGGAGTCGAGTGAATGCTGCGCTTCAACCCGAGGCTTCCTCCTCAGGTAAACACGAGCTCTCACGCCATCGGCCCAGCGGCCCCGCAGGGGGTCGCCACTCCTGCACTCCTCTGCCGGTACTTTCCGTGTCCTCTATGCCCTCCGTGTCCTCTATGTCCTCCATGTCCTCACCTCTCGGCCCCTCCGAGGAGTGGAATCAGCACATGGCGGACGCACTCAGCACGCACACCAACAAGGCTGCGGCGCCGCGGAGAGAGAGAGAGAGAGAGAGAGAGAGAGGCCTGTTTGCACACACGGCCCTTCCTCTTTTTGCTTTTCATCTTTGTCAGCGCGAATGTCTGGTCCCGCGCGAGCTCTCCTGTAAAGGCGGCAGAGTAAATATCAAACACGGCGGGAGCTTGGCGGCGCTCCAGCTGGCTCGGGCTCAGCGAGCTACTTCAGAATCCAGCCCGACCTGCCTGAGCCGGGAACAAAGGCCCGGGAGGGAGAGCGGATCTTCAGCAGCATCACGAGGACCAAAGAGCACCGAGGAACCACCGGGAGTCCTGGAGGACTGATGTCTCCAGATAACTGACAGCACGATGATTAAATGACACTTTACTGAGTGACTGACTCCATTTAATGAAGAACTTTAGTGCAACACAAGCAGATTTTCATGAGAGATGTGTTGCTACGTGCTTGTTGTTATCAACTTTGACGACTCTGCTGCGTGTGGCCATTTCTCCATGTGCAGATTTATGATAGAGAGGCAGGTGATAAATTATGGCATTGAGTTGTTGCCCTGCCTTGATGTCGGCCCAACCTTCGTCTCTTCATATTTTCATGTCGATTTCACCACCAGACAAAAGCCAAATGAAACCTGCCCCGTCGGCAGCGTCTCGTGTTTCCACTGTGACGAGTTCAAAACATAAATAATTCAGCCGCAGAAATTTATTAAACCACCTGACCCCTCACAATAAATACATGTATGTTGGACGTGGAGGACACGCAGCCGATGGCGCTCAGACGTGACTTTTATTGCCGCTTGAAAATAAACGGTCACCCGCGTCTCTTCACAGTCGCTTTGGAGCGTAAATATCAGCGGCTGCTTAAAAAAAGAATAGTTTTTGTATCATAAGATAACTCGTGGCCACATTTCATTAATAACATCCCCCAACCCCCTTAATTTGTGCCTGTTGCTTGGCATTCCTCATCCCTCCCCGTGCCCAGTCAATCACAGCTTTTCCATTTTCAACTCACCAAAGTCTCTATTCTAAAAAAGCCTCGGGACACAGAGCGGGCTTTGTGCGCAGCCCCGTCTCCCGGCGACGGGAGTAAACAGCAATGGTAGAAGCGAGGGAGATGAGGGGAGACAGGACGGGAGGGGGGCACGAGGGGGGCGGTGAAGAGACCTCGATGACCAGTAAAGGACGGAGGACAGTTAGGACCCCCACATCTGTGAGGAACACAGCTCTCTGTCCCCGAGGGGGGGGGGGCATCATACTGTCAGTTCAACGTGATCTCCAAAACCTTGAACATACAAATTCGTAACAATACATAGGAACTGGCGGCGGTTAACCACGCCCCCTGAGTGAACAACATGGCGGAGCATGTCGGATTCTTGAGTGAACGTCTCTCCGCCATGTTGGATTTTTTGAGGGGGTTAGTATTGTATTCTTACAATTTAACATTGATTTCTCGTTAAAAATGCAATCATAACACGTTTATTTTACATGGTCAGACTTCACGAAGTGTGTTTACGGGGCGCAGACGTCATCAGTCGCAGTCCGTATTTATTTCGTATGTATCATTACGAATTTGTATGTTCAAGATTTTCGTATACATTTTTACGAACAGGTTTTGGAGATCAGGCTGGTCAGTTTAGAGGAAACCGGCGCATTCGGTTGCTCTTCTAGAAATGCGGCGTGCCCCCCCCCCCCCACCACATCAAGGGCCGATACACGCTCCCAACAGAGCCACCTCAAGTCCATCCGTTCAGCCCGGCCTGACAGTAAATACAGTTTCTCATAAGTTAATTGCACCTTTTAGACGACAACTGTTGCCAAACACAAGACGCCTCAGCTGTTTTATCGGAACCCTGGCAGGGTGGAGGAATGAGCCGGGGGTATTTAAAGGAGCGGGGAAGGCGGGTGATTTCACTGCCGTAGGGAAAGTCCCTGAGATTCCCATCATCCCTGTGAAAACAGCGGAGATTTTCGATAGCGCCCGCCACTTCCCTGCCCTGCCAGCGGCCGGAAACACCGACAGATTCAGACCAGATGTGAGCAGCTCGCACACACACACACACACACGTGTGTTGAAACACACGCACACATGCAAGAATTGACATATGCAAACGCACGTCTGCGCATGCAATCATGCACATTTGCACACATGCATCATGCATACACCCGCGTAAACAGCACGGACTGGCACATGCGCCGGCACGCACGCTGGATGAAGATGAATGATGATGAGATAAGGCCTCTAAAGATAGTATCTCTCATCACACAGTTGCACACCGATCCTAGAATAGTATTATTTCAGCCGTCCCTGAGACAGAAGTCTGCAGCCGACTGATCTGATCTGATAGCAGTTAGTAAGAGCAAGCAGGCAGACCGACTGTAAGTCCTCTGTAATTAATGGAAGCGTTGGATTGGATCTGAGCAGGAGCACACAGATCTTTGACAAATAGCTGCTGACTCTGAATATTCCTTTAAATACCCCCTTTCTTCAGAGAGGGAATGATTGCACCGGGGATTTCTTCACGACAAGGGTACCAATGTGCTCTTCATAACTCCAAGGGCTGAAGGGTTTGAGGGGATGGTTTGTTTTTCGGGGGGGTGGGGGGTTGGCTTGTCGGCTTTGTTTGAGCGTTAGGTAAGAAGATCCACTTTGATGCCGGTGTGTTAAACACGAGGCCAAAGGCGGCAGCCGGCTAGCTTAGCCGCCGCTAATTGTTACAGGATCGAGAAAACTACTTTTAAATGTCAGTTTATCCTTCGTAGCCCCCCCAACCCCCCCCCCCCACAGCTGCCTGCGTAAGTAACACGTGAGGGAAACGCGGAGCGCCAGAATGTTCTGGATAAATGGGAGAATTTATAAATGTGGTGTCGCGTCATGCCCTCTAAGCCCTTCAGGCTGGTTTATGATCGCTGGCTGGATCGGATGAATGTATCTTTGGGGCTGATTCAGAAAAAAAAGAAAAAAAAAACCCAGCTCATGGAGCCTGGGTTTGAATCACCCAGTGTGTGTTTGTGTGTCTGTGTGTGGTGTCTGTCAGTCACCTCGCAGTGGGATGGCCCGTAAATGCCGATGAAATGAATTCACTGGTTCCATAATTCTTTTTTTTCCTCCCATTCGGAGCCCCCACAGTGGCCGCGTTGTTTTGGTGAGCGCTCAGAAACAATGAATTATTTCAGGTGGCAATCTGAAACTGGCACGGCGACGCTCCAAAGGGAAAGCGCGCCGAGCGGCGAGCCAGGCGCCCGTCTACCGTGGGGGTCCGCGTGGTATGAAAAGGGAGGGAGGGGAGACAACACAAATAGAGATGGAAAAAGAGAGAGACGGAGGGGGAGAAGGGGGCGAGGTGCTGGAGATGAGGCAGTGGGGGCGAGAGGGGGGGGGGGGAGACGAGGAGAAGAGGGGGAGACGGGCTGTGGTGGAGCGCTGCCAGCCGTCTGTGTGGTCCATGCGTTCCAGCCTGGAGGAAGCAAGCCAGGCAAGGGAACGGCACACACACACACACACACACACACGGACACACACACACACGCGGGGCCATACACAACAATTCCCAAAGGCGAAACATTTATAGAACACAATGAGACATTATGCACACACTTGCTGGCGTGTGCTCCCTCTGCACCTCTCTGCTCACATTAAAGTGCTTTGATTCAAGATTTCTTTTGCTTTTTTACTGCAGCTCGGGGCCAAGCAGCTCCAGACCCTCTTTGATAATCGTTATCTCTTTTTATTATTCTCTCTCTCTCTCTCTCTCTCTCCTTATGCTGCTGTCGTCCTTCTCTTTCTCTCCCTCCCAGTGAATGATTTTGTGTTTTGTGTTGTAAAGGCTTTGGCACCTCTTCAAGGAACTTCATAAGACATTCAACTGACTGACTGCCTCTGGAAAAGCCTGCAGCCTGTCTTTATTTTCTTCTCTTCCCCCCCCCGCCTCCATCTTTTCATTCCTCTTCCTCCTGATGTTTTGGGTGAGTTTTATTTGTCCGGCTCCCATTGTTAAAAGCTGTTTTGAGTCAGGCAGCAGCAGATAGTTGTGTGTGTGTGTGTGTGTGTGTGTGTGTGTGTCTGCGAGGGTCCTCTGAAATCCTCTCTAAGTACCTGGATGCTGTAAAAACACGGCCTTCCTTTGGTCACTGTAATCCACAGACACACAGAGACACGCATATTCTCGCACGCGACACAATCGGCACTGTGCAATCAGCACGAGTGGGGGGGGGGGGTCTTAGCATTTAGCAGCGAGCGCAAACGAAGCCGCGGCCTCACGTCGGGCAATGACAGCGCACGTGTCGCGGCACGACTGGCGCGCTAATGAAATCCACTCACTCACTGCGGGCGGCGCGTCGAGGCGCAGGTTTGTTTTTTAAAGAGACCCGATGGAGCACAAAGTTAGGCAGTGGAGGTGTGTGAGTGTGTGTGTGTCCGACACACACTTCTGCCCACCTCCAGCGAAGGAACGCACCGCTTCGCTTGGGAGTCGACTCAAACTCTTTTGACTCATGTTGAGGAAGCGCTCCCCGGCCGGTCCTTTCGAAGAGTCGCATCATGTCGTGAACTCTCGCTCCAAAGTACTGTCAACTCCCGCGGGCGCGACCTCAGCCGCGGGTCCTCTCCTGTGGCTTCCCAGGTGAGTCAGCCGGAGGGGGCGGAGCCTTCGCAGGGAGGGCTGCCGGGCTTCAGGCCTGCTACCTTCTAGCCACGCTCGCCTGTTGTGATTCGTTCACTTTTGTTTAAGTATTACCGCGTCTTCTGTCGCTATACGAAGGGCCGTACGAACAAAGGCGTATAAAAGCTGCTACCGTGAGTGTGTGTGTGTGTGTGTGTGTGTGTGTGTGTAAGCACGTGTGTGCGTCTCAGGAAGAGTTTGGCTTGGCACGCGCGCCTCCTGAACCACTAATATTGTCTGCAGGCCTTTAAGCGACCGATGTCTCTCCCCCAGGCTTGTTAACACCCTGACCAAAATCAACTCCCCCCTCCCCCCCCCCCTCCAACTCACCCACCCCCCCCAAGACCCCCTCCCACCGACCCAGAGACGGGCCTCACCGCCAACCTCCACCGCTGACACACAAGTCGACAATGCACACACATCCCGTGCTCTCGGTTGTGCACAGTAACCGCTGCAATATGCCGCAGCAAGACGCCGTGCATGTGACGCCGTGCACGTGACACCGTGCACGTGACGCCGTGCACGTGACGCCGTGTGTTCTTTGTCACCTCCCATGTTTGTCTGTCATCAATTAGCTATAATGAGAACAGTGGGTTTGGACAGAAAGGCCTGTATATTGTGTTATTACGGCATGGCTATTATCACTGAGGAAGTTTGTCTCAGCTGACCGCAGCCACCATCAGGGGCAACTGGAAGGAGACAGAACCAGCTATAAAAGCATATTGGTTTAAACAACCACTCCCTGTCTATTAGCCCAAAATGACTTTTAATGAGGCCTATTAGCTCGCCCCGAATCTGCACCGTGGCTGCACCAGAGTAATGACACGCACAACACATACTCTCTCTGCAGACGCTGCCGTGTGGGTGCAGCCGCGCCGGCTAGCACACACGCATGTATTTGCAATCATATCTACGGGGGCAGTTTGAGCACACACACACACACGCACGCAGACTCACGTACGCGTGCACACACTCGCTGAGCTGAGTGGCTAACCACAGGCTAACCAGGAGCCGCGGAGCGATTAAGCACAATGCGAGCCGCAGGAACCCAGTTAGCCCCCCAGCTAATAAACGCGGTGGCCAGAAGGACTCGACTGAGCGCTTAGCGCGCCTCACACGTACGCACGCGCGGGCGCACGCCAAAAACCTCGGAGGGGAATCACACCACGGATCTCTGAAACCGGGCCTCGCAGATATTCGCCGCTCTGACCGCGCAATTAATTAGCCGAAGCTCAGCGCCGCAGCTCGGAGAAGTGAGGCCCCCGCTGGCTCGCGGGTGGTCTCGGCTTTATCCGCTCGGCGATGTTAGGAGGAGGAACTGCTGGGGAAATGACATCCCTCAGGACGGCTCATATGGCCGCCATAAGGCTCGTCAGACACCAGCAAGTCCTTCCTGAGCGAGACAGCCACAACCGGGCCGGCCGTTAACAGCGAGAAAAAAGAACCGCCGACAAACATCAGGAAGGTCTGAGCGCTTATGAAAGCATCGAGAACGGACACTAATTTGAGCTTTTTCAGAGCGGTGTTCAAATCCAGTGTTGTTGTCAGCTCATTTCCCAGAAACAACACTGTCCGAGGGGCCCGGCGTACCACAGGCCTCCTAATGACCATTTCCTAATGACCATTTAACACAAAATAGAGCTGCAGCGGCCGACAAAGGCCCCCCCATGTGTCGACGCAGCGCTCGCAGAGAGAAATCGCTCAGGTGGAGGAAGCCGGCGCTCTCGGCTGCGAGTCCCTCTCTGAGCTGGAAGCCCCCCCCCGAAGGAGGGGAGGTGCGGTTGAGGGGGCACATGTGTGTTTTGCCACCCTCCGACCTTGGCGTAATGACCCCTGAGAGGGAGACGTGTTCTGGCTGTAGTTTCTGGGTAAATTACACCGCCGCTGCAGTTCGGAGCACTTAGCAGCAGCGTAAAGAAGTTCAGGGGTCACGTGTGAGGACATTCTCCTTATTGCTCACTGAAGTTGGACATGCAGAATCAGACGGCTGTTACGAACAACGGGCCAGACTCCTCTCACCGGATCATCAGGTAAAACCGCCTCGGTCTGGTTTAATGGCCCCGGTTTCTAGTCACTCACCGGCAGGAAGGCTTTGCTCACACAATCTCTGCCGAGAACAAACCAAAGGTTTCTCTAAACAATTCTGCATCTGCTCGCTCTTCATCCAAAAAATCGGGATGCTGACGGGACAACAGATGCACAGGAAATGCTTTGATCCAACGGGAAGGGCTGGAGAGCGAGGAGGGCCCGCGAGGGGAAGCCGGCGGGTGTTTGCGTGCGCTCGCTTTGGGGGGCAGGGCCAAAATGTTCTGCCGGCACCGCGGGCCGGTTCTCCTACGCGGGTTCCGATCCCGCTGTCTGACTCTTTGCGATGCGATATCGTCCCTTCGGCGGCGTGAGATGGGAATATGTGTTTAGGGAGGAGCGTTGGGGAAACAGCTGCATGCCAGACCAGTTGGCACTGACAGCTATAGTAAAGTTTTTTTTCCCTCCTCAGTTGTTTTTATATGGCCCATTAAAATGAGCTGATGCTAGCGTTCTGCTACCCAGCGTACCCTCTCAGGAATATTCTGCCTCGCTCTCTTTTTTTTATTTCTCTCGAACCGTCACATTTAAGGGCAGCTTTGTGAGGAGTCAACTTCGTTAAATGTCTGCGGATCGCTAATTAAAACCCCCATCACAACCATTTCCAGTGAAACCTCTTGTTTGTTTGTTAATGAACTGGTTTCTATAGCCTGTCACCGTTCTTCCCGGGAACTGAGTGCGGCCCCACCCACAGAGTTTAGTTTACTCATCATTTACTACTCAGCCTGTGAAAATAGTTTACGGTAAAATCTCTTCTGTGGCACCGGAGGGAGCTTTTATTGTTCCAGCAGAGTGAGTGAAATATACTGTGGAGATTATTAAAGAGCCATCGCTCCCACGAAACCCCTCATGGTTGGAAGCGCAACAGCAAATGCCAGCTCGTAGGGAAATTGAAGGGAGACGTGTGTTGTTGTGCGTCTGTGCGCCACAGTGTGCTGTGCGTGCGTGCTTCTGTACTCACTCCTGGGCTCACGCGGTCCATCCACGGTGACCTTTATGGCGCGGTGGTAAGTGGCCACTTGTGGCGGGTTGGTGAATACCGTGATTGTCAGCGTGAAGCTCTTGCCTGTGGTGACATCAAACAACATCAAATGAAAGAGGCGCATTCATCGCCGCACCATCCCTCGGTCACAAGTGTGGTTGTTATCACGTAACAGCAAACGCTAAATATCCCTTAAGAGCTTTAAAGAAGGACGACGTCGGCCGCTGCACAGGGTCGGTGTCTCTGTTATGCCGCCTGAATGGAAGCTTGACTGGAGGACGCTTTCCCTGCCCCGATGCGCGGCGAGTGGGCGAGAGGCGTTTAAATAGTCACTCCCCCCCCCCCCGACAATCAGCAGCAGTTGCTGCCTCGGGGTCGAGAGGAACGGCGGTGAATCACAAACGCCACGACGAGTCAGCAGCAGCAGCTCACGTCTGAAGTATGCGGATGCATCATGTCGCCCTGGCTACCCAAGGGAAACAGGAAGTGGGGGGGGGGGGGGCGAGTTGCTGCAGCGGCCCATCAGAGCAGCTGTTCGCCACCTCCCCGTGCTGCGAGCCCCCCCACACCACCTTCCACAGCAGCGCGCTTGTAAACGCGTTTCGCATACCTGGTCCGACGCGCATGAGGGGGAGTTATGATGAAAGCGCAACCCGCCTGCGATCCAGGTTGATCCCCCCCCCCCCGCCCGCCCGCCCACCGTTCCCCTGCGAACTCTAATGACATCACTACATTGGACCACAGGTGTCTGCTTACGCTCTAGATGACCTGCCCCATCGGTCCTCGCCGTCATCGTCCCGTTGCTCTTTTAGCTCTGTGACATCCTATCGGCTCGCACTCAGCGCGGGTATTCATTTCAGACACCCCGTAGTCTGATCTGCCCCCTCGCCCTCGCCCCCGGGCTCCTATGTCACTTCCTGTGACGGGACTCTGTGTCACATACGGAGGGATGCTCACGCGAGGTCCCTGCGAGCCCCCTGTTTGACAGCTACCGCGGTGGAGGAGAGTCCCGGGGGGAACCATCGGGTCATCGGGGGCTTTCCGGGGAGGGCGAGAGCACAGGCCCTCTGCGGCAGATCGCAAAGCCGTAGTCAGACGGCTTGGTGAGAGGGTAAATGAGGCGGTTGCCCGGGCGATGCTAAATATTCAGGGAATGCTGTTGGATCCGCCTCTTCGCCTGAGGATATCAGCTGTGGCACCACCCAACATGTTGCTGAGCCTGAACTGAGCCGGGTCATTTCAGGTTTCCAACCAGGAAGCGAGAGAACACACTCTTCCGCGTCGGAGAACGATCTCCCATGATATCTTAGTCCTGAGCTTTGTTCCTTAACCGCAGAACACAAAGGTTCTCGTTAAGCCGCTTTTCTGCCTGAGCCGGGTCTAAAGATACTACATAAATAAATCCACGAGATCCAGCGCTCAGACGGCGATGGGCGGTGGGATTTGAGCCCCGGGGTTAGTGATCATTATGTGGTCGCCGCGAGGAGAGGGGGGGGGGGGTGTGACCACTAATCCACACCACTGAAGCTAATCGCTCCTGCTCAGTCGTGTTTCGGGGGCTCACCTCTGCCGCTGCGGCCCACGAAGCGGAGGTCGTTGAAGCGCGCCACTTGGTTCTTCATCACGCCCGAGGCGTTCCGCAGCTCGGCCGAGTAGTTCTCGTCGTTGCCCGCCATCACCGTGACAACGGTCCCATCAGATATGTCACCCAGGGCTACCACCTAGGGGCGGAGGGCACAAAGAGTCCAACATCTTAAATTTAGGAACGACTCAGGTCTAGTAGAGCATTCTCTAATGTGAGAGGCTGGTGTTACACCGTCTTCCCCTCGTATCGTGTAGAAAAGCACATTTCATTTGACCTCATTTCATTTCTCAAGTGCCGTCTCTTAGAACATCTCGTGTTATCATTTAGATTCCTGGATACAGATAAAAGAGGGTAAGCAGCCCAAAGAGATGCAATAATTACAGAGCCGCAGTAATAAAAATACTTAAAAAACACATATATTTTAAAATGTGTCACATTTGGTTTGGAGCCAGGGCGATGGCTACAGATTCCCACTGTGGTGCGTCTTTGATCCATTCTGTAAATAATATCTCATGTAATTAATATGGGCCTTTCCTGTGAAATATGGGAGCAGAAAATTGTCAGAGCTTCAAAACCGACTGAAATGTACAAATAATTAGTGTTCTATTTTCTGAAGTTCAGTACGATTGACATGGGAAGACCAGGGAAGGAAATTTAAGCAATCATTCAAATAGTGGGTTTACTAGGCCTCGGTGTGGGCTTCACGCATACAGTAATTAACATGCTGTGATATTATTTATTTCAAATAATTCTAATACACAAAAAAATAATGGCCTTGTAAAATGTAACTATTTATAACGGAACCAGAGCTTTATCTGAAATGATTTACCGAGAGGCTTTTTAGGTGAGCTATAATTATTATATATCACATAATGTAGGTATATAATTATACCTACATTATGTGATTATTGGCAAGACATCAAAAGTATTTTTTGATTGTTTACAAAATGAAAAGAGGAGAAAAACAACATGCACATTCCTTCCATGTTACCCAACCGTTAAGTGTTTTTAGTTTCTGGCCCTTCAAGCCCCGTTTCCTTAATCGTTTTGTTATTTGAGAATTCATTTTCTGACTACTTTTGGTTTGAGAAATACACTTAAAAAGACACATCGGCACATTATTTCTAAACAGGCAAAGTTCTTTTTATGATTTATAAAAAAAAACATTTGTAATAGTCTTGCTGATAAAAAACAGCGATTTGTTTTGTAAAGAACGACCATTCATCCACGCTTTACTAAAACCCCCTTCTGGCTTCACTTTGTGTCCATGTGTCAAACACCAGGATGTGACTTCTCCTTCTTCTCCTCTCTCCGCCGCGCGCAGCTGGACGCGCACCGGGACGCGCACCGGGACGCGCACTGGGACGCGCACCGGGACTCACCTTGAAGGCGACGGGCAGCGTCTTGTTGCACCGCCAGTGGGAGGGCAGCACCGAGCAGAGGAAGTTGGGGCTGTCGGTCCGGACCAGCTCGGCCGGGTGGTCGGCGATGATCTCGGCCATGCTGCGGTTTTCGTGGGGCCGCAGTCTTGGCACCGCCGCCGCGTCCGGCTGGCCGGTAGGAGAGCTCACATCGTTCATCTTCCCGGAGACCGGCTGGAGGCTGTTGGACGGCGGGCTGAACCTCCGACTCGCGCTGGGATCTACGGGAATTCGCATCACAACAGCGATGGTTATCGGAAAAAAAAATACAGAAGGCAGCGCAGGCTGTCCGGCTGCTTCTCTTTCCGTCTGTTCCTCTCTCCGCGGGAGCGTGCGCCGCTGATCGCTGGGACCTCGGCGCGGGTGCCAAACGGAAAATGGGACGTCGCGAGCGCACACCGCGTTTCAAAAACTCTCCCCACTACGAAGTTCAGTGGGCGCCTTCAAAACGGCAAAAAAAAAAAAAAAAAAAAACCTTTCCGGCACGAGAGAAACAAGCCGTGCAAACGCGATGATGTTTTCGATGGCAAGCCCTCTTCTTTCAAAGTTCTCGAGGGACGCGTCCGTGCGCCATAACGCAGGCGGAGTTGCTCGTGCGAGGATATAAATAACATCAAATAAATGTCCGAGCGCGTAATGGGCTCTACGACCACGAACAGAAAAGAAAAAAAGGGGTCTAAAACGGAACGGCCGAGCCAGATGTTGAAAGAAGTTTTTGTCTGTCTCCCTTTGGTGAGAAGTCAAAGCGCTGCTCCAGGTGCGTCATTGAAGTCTTTGTGTCAAACTGAAAAGGCTCTGTGGGCACCCGCAGGCGACGTGCGCACACGCACGCACGCACGCACGCGCGCACGCACACACGCCAAAACGTTTTGGCAAACGAATACGCGTTAACAATACTTAGTAGAGCGATTTATAGCCGGAGTTGTGCAGATTTTCCGTAAAGTCGCTCGAGAGGTTTTGTAAATAAACTTAAAGAAGGTTAATGAAGTCGTGAAGAAATTACAACAACAAAAAAAGTCATCGCGGACGAGATGAGAATAGAATCCCGTTGGTGGAGCCGTAAATGCGGTCAGCGTTTGGGGGCCGGGGGGTTCCCGTGCTCAGCTTTTTGTGGTTTATATAGCGCGAGCGCACAGCAATTATTGCGCTGATGCGACTCCAACACGTGGTGTCTGGAGTCAGATCCATTCCCCCCGCCGCGATCTATCACCGGGCGGCTCTGAGCGTCAGACACACACGCACGCGCGCACACGGCTCCCCTTCACACCTTTCTCTCACAGATAAGAGTTTTCACCGCCAGCCGCGCTGCTCCCCCCCGCCCCTCCCCCCCTCCCCTCACGGACCGTCCGTGCGCTCCCGGGCCCTGGATCGGTCGTTTTTCAGGCGGTGATACGCGTCGGGTTGCGTGTTGCCACTAGATTCCCGAAACGACACGCGGCTCGGTGGTGGGGGGGGGGGGGGGGGGGGGGGGGGGGTGGGGGTTACACTCCGTAAGGTGGAGGAGCGAGTGAGTCACCGGGGAGCGGTGAGTCAGTCCGGGCGCAGGAGTACTGTTTCAGGCGGTCGGAGCTGTTGTGCAGGTGTACCGGTGCATTCTGCTGCACGCGTGCGTTTTCACGCGTGCTCTCTTGTGGAGAGGAGGCTGTTTAGAGAAAGTCTTCTGTGCGAAATGTCCCCCCTCATATGACTTGTAAAAGGAGTTGATATTTACAACTACACGTAAACTACACGGCGCTGAAAGAGGATCCTGTGCGTAATTACGCACAACTATGCGTGGCTTTGAAAGGCACATTTCTTCATGACAGTGATGGAAATTAATCAAGTAGATTCACCTTTTTTGTGTGTGTATATTTTCCATTCTAAATTTAACTTCCATTACATTTATAAAATAAATTTGTCTATTTTTAAAATCACCATTCTGTTTTTTTTACAGTTTAATTTGAAAAATAATTATTTTAAATACAAAACATATGGTTTCATAGAATAATATGCATCACTTTAGATAAAACTAACCGGAAGTATAAGTAGTTTAAATGAGCTGTTCTTCTCAAACTTAAGCAGTAAAACGATTCTAATCAACGTATACTCCAATAACAAGTACAACTGTTACGTGAGCATTTTTTAAATCTTCATGAGTGAGTATTTTTTTTATCATGTTACCTTTTCAAAGCGAGACTTTCCCAGCGTCCATATTGTTAAATAAACGGTTTCCTTCCACCACTAAAAAATTAACAATGAGCTAGCGGTCAAAGGTTTACACACGTTCTCATCGAATCCAATGAGAAAGCAGTTTTGCGAGTTGAATGTTTTTATTTAACTTAGCTGACTGTACCTTTCCCAAACCAAGTCCAAAAACAACATTTTTTTCCCGTTTTTTGAGAATCTTTACAACCACAATTACAATTTTTTTTTAGCAACTTCACGCTTCTATTTCATGTGTGCAATGTGTCATCTCTTGAGTGCGGACGCTGCTCTGAAGGCCTGGCCTCCCTGCGTCTATAGAGGGCATCATCCCCCCTCTGTGAGACTCCATATCTCAGCCGGCTCTCGTCAGCCCGCCCACCCCCGGCCCACCCGTCCGTCTCCCGGCGCGTCCTTTTCCAGTGCCACATCACACGGCAGCATGTGTATTATGCCACTCTGTGTTCCTTTTCCGTTGCTCCCACACACACGCTTTTATTGCAGAGTCTTAAAGACAAAGGCCTTTGATAGTGCGGGCCTGTTCCAAAATAAAAGGGACTAAAGGAGGCACAGCTGTCAGGTTATTTGGGTCCCGTCGGGGCTTTTGCAGTTTGTTTTTATGCTGTAAAGTCAGACAAAGTCTTACACATTTTATAATAAGGTTTCTGTGTTGAGAGAGAGAGAGAGAAAAAAAACATTCTAAAGCCCGAGGACTGTAAGTAAGTTGAAATAACTTGACTTCTTGTGTTTCATAAGTATGTACTTGGCTGTGCACATGTATGCATGTCTGTTAGCGAGTGTGTGTGTGAGGATGTGGGAGGGATATATATATATATATATAAAGTCTGAAAGCATTGACATGCATCTGGCACCTCGTCATGTGGACGGGGAAGGGGAGAGAGGAGGGAAAAAAGAAAGAAAGAGAGTGATTGAGTTACACTTCCCCTCCGTGTGCCCCTAACACCAGAAATATGGTTCACATTGTCCAACATTCTGAATGATCAACTGACTATTCATGGATGGATAAATGTGAATAGTGGTAATTAAATCTGTTATAGTGATAAACATGGCCCTGCAGAAACCGTGGAGCCGGTTTATTCCAACAGAGTTAAGTTTCAGCCCCGATAATATCGTTTTTTCACCGCTGAATACATTTGGCGTAATGTGGAAAACATCCTTAATGTTGTAGTGGAATTTAGTTAAGGAAATGTCCGGGATGAAATAAAAACAACCTCCCAGTCAATTTCATGGCATCAATTTAATCAACCTAATTATTTATAATGCGTATGTGTTTTGCGTTATTTTGACTGAAATTTGAACTGGAATTGAATCTTTTTTAGTGTGTTTCTTTTCCTAAAACTCCACAACTGTCACATGCCAATTATTTCCCTGGTTTTCAGGCCAACTAATCAGTCTTAAATGTGGATTCTCTGCGCCCTGTTATTGTCCCATCAGAGACGGCAGCAGGAAGAGCCCCTTGATTCTCTCCCCCTCCCACCAGCGCGGTCGTGACTTGAACCCCGACGAGCTCGGCTCATCAAAGAGCGTCTGTCCCATCTGACTCCGCTTTGCCTCCCCGCCGCCCCGGCCGGCATCTGTCTTCCAGCTCCTTGCAAGAGACGCGCGGCGACGCCTGCTCGTCTCACTCGACGCCACACGGGGGAAAATCGTCCGTTGGATGAGCGCGAGTCACCGGAGAAGGCGCTAATGTGCCAGGGTCACGTCCCGCCCGGCCCGGGAGCGACTCACGAAGCCGGGAGCTCCGCGGCAGCAATGACGGAGCATAAAGCCGCTCATTCAAAGCGCGCCGCCTGCTCGCCTGCTGCGCAGCTGGACCGTCTCGCTGGGCTCTGGAGTTATTCATCCACTGTGTTCCTCTGGCTCGCACTCATCGCACAGTAGGAGAAGTCACTACCAGTGACGAACCACAGTGTACCACATTGAGCTGGATCTGCGCCTTCATGATTTATGGTATTATTCTATTTCTGACGCTCAGTTTCAATTATTTGTTTCCAATAAAATAAAAGAAAACAACTCAAATTTTTCGTGCAGATATCGAGCTTCTGTTCTCGTGCCCACTTGGAACGACGCGTCCACAGTCGGCCTTTTTTACGTTTGTTTTCACGACTGTGCGTCTTGTCAACAGGTTCACGTCACTGCGGCTGTTTGACACACGCGAGAGACGCAAACAAACACGCGGCGGAGAGGCACCGCCCGACCCGCCCTTTGACCCCTCGTTTGGAAAGCAGCACAAACGAGAGCTAAGAAAAGGCCTCTACGCTCCGGCGGGTCCGTCCGGTCGCCCTTTGAATCGCGTATTTGACTCCGCTGTGAAAACTCTCCCCCCGTCGGTCCTTCTGCTTTTCACAAGCGCCGGAAAAATAAAGCCACCAAAGACTCGGGAGAAAGGCTCCATTTCACAGTGGTGCATTTTTCAAGACACTTAATTATAGCTTTCTAGAGGAGGGCAGTGACGAGGCCCAGGCTCCTCTAACGGGATGTTTCCATGTTTGCCGGCTCCGCCAGAGCGCGCGGCCTGCCAGCCAACCAATCAGCCGAGAGATCCAGCCTATTAGCCCGTCAGCCCGACGGGGTGGGGGGCACGAAACCCAGTCGCTGTCTTAGCTCGACCCGGGGCTGGTAGTCGGCCAACCGGCGAGGCCCTCGGAGGACGACGACGGGCAGAAACATTACTCCCCGTGACCTCATCCAGCCGACCTCGACGACTCACGCTCACTGATCCCGGATCAGAGCCGAGCCCTTAATGACTGTTTGGCACCGAGACCGTGACATCACGTCCTGAGGTGTGAGCGTGTTTCACAGAGCGCAACCCCCCCCCCCCACACACACACACACACATTACCTGTGTCAGATATTTTGCAGAGAGCTGGAGGGAGAGATGGAGCCATGGAGGAGGGAGGGGGGGGGGGCTCGCTGCTTGTGGCAGGAGGGTAGAGAAGGAGAAAGGGAAGGAGGGAAGGAAGGCTATGAAGACAATTTCCTCTCAGCTCTTATTGCTCTGACTGTCTGCCGCCTGCCG